ACAATTGTGTCCCACTTGTTGGTGATTCTTCAAATAAAATAAAAAATTTACATCTTTATGTTTGAAGCCTGAAATGTGGCAAAAGGTTGAAAAGTTCAAGGGGGCCGAATACTTTCGCAAGGCACTGTATATATAAAGTTCTATGAAGCTGACATTTAATAATACCCCTTAAAAACGCTTGTGCACATGGAAACAACATGCAAACTTCACACAGAAGGCCCTCCAGAAAAGAATCAAACCTGGAACCTCTCCACAGCCTATTTACTGTGCCACCCTGTAACATGTGACATAAGCTGCGGCGGCAGCGCTAAACATTACATCTGTTCTGTCAAGCAGGTAGTAACCGCAGAAGTAAATTATTTAGTAAAACATGTATATCCAGCACCAGTCAAGTGAAGATTGGGGGGAAAAGCAGACTACATTTGGGTGTAGAAAGCGGTTCACAGCAGATCTTAACATAGTGTTTTAAGTGATAAAAATGGATTTACTCTGACATTTTTGACAGAAGCAACGTGATGTGTAGTGGCAGTATAATAATGCCATCCTGCTGAATTGCAATGAAGTGAAAACGTTCCTTTGTGATGTGCACGATTGTTCTTCCTCTGGGATTTCCTGATGAGATGAAGTCAGCCACTCTAGACGGAATTTCTTTCTTTGCTGTATGTTCACATACGCCTGGGAGATGTCAAAGATTTCCACACTACAAGTGAAACAAAAATGTCCAAATACTATTCTGACCTTTTGGACTCCAGCTATATTTCAGGAGTGGCTCATCATTCTCCAACCTCTTGAAGTCTTTCCTCAAACTTTTGTCATTTATTGATGGTAAGAAAAATGTGTAGTAATTGCTATAAAAAAACCTGTCCTGACAACCCTCTGAATTTTGTCTCATATTAAATGTTTTTAGGTGTCTAACACGCAGATTCTCCCTTGTTTTTTGAAAAAATATTTTATGCTTGAAAAGGTTTTTCCACAAAATAAGAAATAAGAAAGCCCTCAAATGAAACTGAATTTCAGCAGGCCAGAGCTTTGTCTTGTAACCTAAATGACTCAGATTGCTTCCGACTGCTTGGAGTGGTTGGGGAGAATATTATACAGCTGGATCAGATCCAAAGGGTGGTTTGAAAGGGCAGCTTATACTAGTGCCTGCTGTTGACAAACTCTATGGCTGTTGATTTTCAAGTGCACTGTATATGCCTGTGCACAAGAATAAAAGGCAGCCACATGATGCAGATCATAACTGCTTCCATGCAAACGCTGACATACAGCATGTGCAGCTGGACATGTGCCACAGAATAAACGCTGAAAAGGTCTTTCACTTTGACTGACCTGCAGCAACATGCACATTGAAAATGAACACACAGAGGTTAAAACTGACTGAAAAGTAGAAAGGGCCTTTTGAGCTGAAAAAAGTGTGTTTTGTGTTTTTCCACTTTCAGTTTCACCTCTGCTTGTTCCAATATATATCTGGCCTGAGGCAGGCTTTCCTAGATAGAGGGATTTATTTTCCACATGTACAGTGGCATTCTTACACTGTTCTCTCGGGACGTGCACAGCGCAACAGACAACAACAGCACATTACAGAACAATAAATAAAGAATAATGACAATGTCTAAGTCCTAATTTTGAACTTGGTGACTACACATTTTCATCTGAGAATGGTTCCTGATTCTAGATATTCTAATTTACACTACCTTATAATTTGTTTGGTTAGATAATTTTAATGTTTTGATTCCCTAAGAAGCTGCACGTTAGAGGCATAAGAGTAGGGAGCAATTATAAAGGTCTAGTAAGAACATTTCTTACTAAGGTTTAATCACTGCAGTACTTGGCAAAAAAGCACAATCAAAAGGTGCTGGAGCTGTTAGCTGTAAACACCATGACTGGAAAGCCCAGACCAGGGGTTTATTCAGCAAGTCAGGAAGAATTGAGGGAAATTTTCAGCAAGGACTAGAATTAAGTAGCAGTTCCATATTCAGCCTGGCTATTAGCCATACTAATGATTTGAATTCTGAAAAGGTTTTTTTCATCCATGATTCACAGGTAGAATTTGTTTCTGACTGTACAAGTGTGTATTATCTCACTTTTCATGAGAGATCAGTTCTGGAACGAATACATGCTGAACAAAATTCATTCTGAGGACCGTCATAAAGAAGTTAAATTAACAGTAATACTTTGCCGAAACAAAGAACAACAAATGTGAAACTCATTTTTAATTTCACTAAAGTCTAACTGATTTACGTGAATCATTTTTAAAATGGTATTTTTAAAATTATTTAATACAATTTTGTATGATGAATCTGTGCAGAAGAAAAGTTGTGCCAAGCAAGTAGATTTATTAAAATCACGTAGAACCCATTTTTTTTCAGAAATCATTAGAACGTCATGATCAATTTATTTAAAATCACACATGCTTTAAGAAGTCACCAGCGCAGTATCTTATGCTGTACCTGCTGTGCAAGCAAAGATGAGTTTTCATTGAGAGAAAAATGTACTCTATATGCAAACTCCAGTATTTATTACACAAATGATCTTTCTGCTGTGAATTATGTTTGTGTTAATCCTAATTTTAAATCATAGGCCAGCTTCCATAGTAGAAGATTAAATATATGTGATTAAATCCCATGATTAAAACATCCACTGAAACAGCTTTATGTTGTTTTTCATTCTCTCCGGGGGAAGTTGTTTGAAAAAATTTGCTTTGTGCCGCAATAAGTAAAGCTGTGCTAACAGAAACAGCAGTATAGGCACTAAATTGTCTTATTAGTTTTAAGTTTGGATAAATCTTGATTTAATTAGAACTGTTTTTATTTTTACAGTTCCAGATCCAAATTCAAACTTTGTCTTGCCTGATTGCTGTGCCCGGTGCTTGAAATCCATTTTCTTATTTTTGCTTGAGACTGATCCATTATAAGCCGTCTTTTCTCAATAAAAGCTCACATGCACTGCATGAATGAAAAGCAACCGAGTGCAGCCTCAGCTTAATTTAAGTACCTGTGTGTGCTGCATAGCGTATTAAGAATGTGTCTGCATACAGAAGCCATAGTGAGAGGTGGGCAGGAATCTTATATTCTTTCCTAACCAGCCTTTGCTCTCCTTGCAGCTAGTTTATCTTGCAGTCTGTCCGGATGAAAGAAACGAAGTGGGTAAATACCCTTTAGAAATGTGTTGTATCTTGACAAAGAATTGGTGTGAAAGGACATGGCAAAATTCTACCTTGAATGGATGCCATAAGATTGGTTGGAAGATAAACGTCATGGATAATTGAAATAATTCTTGGAAGTTATCTGACCCAAGAGTTGATGGTGAGGAAAAAAACACGCAAACTTGTCAGTGTTGTGTAGTGCATGTTTATTTCTAGAGGGCTGGTAGTTTGAGAACAACATTTTTACTGCCACTTTATGACAATTTCTGTTTTAGTTTTAGATGGTTAATTCTCTCCCATGTTTATTTACTGTTCTTCTTGTTTCCTTCATAGTAATAAACATCAGTAATATGTTGTAGTGGGCCCATAATTGTGACCACTTGACTACTTGCAGACATTTATATTGACTTGTGTGTTTGCTTTTCTGAATTGCGTTCCCATCCTCCAAAGACATCCAGATGTCCCTACATACATTTATACATATAGATGTCTGTACCAAAGTGTAAGGATTATGAGGTTTGGATAAAGCACTACATATTCATTAGATTGTCAGCCGTAGGTTGGGTTAGTTGAAGCCAGCATGATAGTGACTGATTTCTTAGAAGTTGTGCAGGCTGTAGCCTGGAGAAGGATTTAGGTACATGTAATTGTGTTTGGACCTACTGGGGTTTCAGATCATGCTTAGTGAAGTCAGGAGTCATTGATGTGTGTAATCTCTTTATGCTTTAATTATACACATTTGAGCAGCAGCTGATGTTACGGTATGCATTCATCTAAGGCATAAGCAAGGTGTTCTCAGCTCTTACCCAGCTACTCATCATTAGAAAATGCATGTAGAATTTGGAATTAAAGCCAGTTCTTTGTTAATAAAGTATGTCCTTGTGTTTTATTGTAGTTGTTTGTGATGTTCATGTTTCCTAAAATAGACATAATTTAAAACTTTTAATATATACCCATATGAAAAAAAACAAAAGGCCTGATGTCTCAATAAAGTGACAGCAGCTTTATAGCAAGGAATGTTTACAATTATAAAATGGCAATTTCAAAGAAACTGGGAAGGTTCTTAGGAAAAAGAACAGAGCTTTGGAAATATTGTGTATTTTAGTACAATTAGACTTTGTTTGAATAGGAATGGATACATACTGTAGATATAACTGCAGTGTTGTTCGATACTACCATGGGTTTCAGATCTTCCTTGTGAGATGTTTATCTGTTGTTTGGGCTCTGTGGGCATTGACTATACAGTAATTGAAGAGGGTTAAGAGATTTGCACATAATTAAATTCTTCAACTGAATCATTTTGACAATTCAGAAGTTATTATTAGCTGACTCAGAAGGTCTTGAAGAAAGATATTCCCCTGGGACACTGATTATTCTTTGCCCTTATAGGTCCACTGTTTTCTGTGTTTCTGTGTGATTTTATTTAAGAAAGACCCTGGTCATTTGGTATTGTTTCTAATTTTGTATCAGCATTTTGTACTTTAAACAAAGTCACTTTGTCTAAAGTGCTTCGGGGCTTTCAGCAGAATCCAATGTTTAATTTGGAGTATCCTGTTTGGATGAGTCTCTTTATTGACCCAGCCTTGATTGAATATTCATAACGGACCCTGCTCACTGTGTTAAGTTTAAGTATGTTCTGTAAGATCTTATTATCCATAGTTTTCCTGTTACTACTTAAGAGTTGGTATGCTTTTATTAAATCTCGTTAATTTTTCCAGGTGTTTGTTCATCATAGCATTTCATATTCTGAAGCCTTTCCAAAACTGCCACGAAGCAGTTTTTTAGCACTGTTCAAATGTGTGATTCTGGGTGGTGCTCCATTTGCTTATAGTGCTGTCTTCTTTCTCCTTTGCAGTCACAGCTCTTCTCAGAAAGCTGAAGCAGCAGTCCAGAGAAAGTGTAGAGGACAAGAGGCCCAGATTACTCAAGGCTCTAAAGGAGGTACAGTGCACCACATTACTACAGATATCCATCATCATTTCAAAATGTGCAAAGAAATACATTTAATAATTGGAGAGCCTTCTCTGAATGCCTGTGAAAAAGTATAATACAATAAGGTCACTGAATTAAGAATGGTGAATCTTGCCTGTCAGGTAAGTGATAGAACATCTTGTTGTTTTGTTATGTTAAATTTTGACATATAACCACAGAGAAACTGTGCATTCATACAAGCCTGACTAGTTCTTTTGCTATATTACTGTATATGTCTTCTGATTCTGTTCTTTCTAAGGTGCTTCTAGTGGTAAAAAAACGTATAAATAAAATTTCAAGCTTTGAAAAGCAAACACTATATACTCATCAAGCGCACCTCACATGTCTACATTCTAGAAAAATAGAAAACGGGAAATTACGACATAGAGATTGGATTTAAGGTATGTGGCTGGCAGCTGGGATCTTCTTGCATGTAGTCTTGTATATACAGTATAGGTCTATAGTCTTAATGATGATGATTATAATAAGGACAGTGTGGTAACGTCCCTACTCTTTTCGAGAGACACCCTGAGATTTTTAGTGACCACAGAGAGTCTGAACCTCGGTTTTACGTGTCATCTGAAGGAAGGCACCCCAATTCACACTTCTGTGGAGTCCTCAACATCAGTCAGTGACTTAATGTGGCTTGCATTGTAACTCATTTTACACTGCTCCCGGGATTTTTTCATGAACCAGAACTTTGGAATGTAACGCTGTCAGCAGAAGGACAGAGTCTACTGTGGTGGCTGATATGATAGTAATAATCATTAAAAGGCTGTTGAAAATGTTTTTAAATCTTCAGAACTGTCATACAGGAAATCTGTTTACTGGGGACAGATCTGTTGCGAAGGGTAAATTCTGTGTTTAGAACAGAAGGATGCATGTATAGCTAGACAGAAGGCACAATTTCATTATTCTCCAGCATATTTATTTTTGCTTTATCTCAGGGCTTGTTTTCTATGCCCTAATCTTTCACATTCTGTACTTGTGTCATCATGATCGACTGTCAATTCCCAGTACAGCTCCTAGGCCAAAAACTGCCATTTAAATTGATTTGTTATTGTCATAACTCTTGTCTCCTACGTAAGACTGAAATCGCATATGTAGAAATTTCAGGATTTAATAGAAACCAAACATGGGTTTTTCTTTTTCTCGCCTTTAGTCTTCACAATTATTGTGCAATTATTTAAGCTACCAAACATTGGATGACATCTTTAACTCAGTCAAGCTTTACCTAAATTGTTGTGTGCAAGTGTACAAACTAGGGTATAGTCCTGAAGTTCTAAAGATGACATAGGGCTTTATTTAAAATTATGTAATATGCAAAACTGATTGTAAAGTATGGGAAAATGGTGTGCGTGTAGTAATTATTTTCTGCCTTGTTATCTAAATTGATATTCACATTTAAATATTGTAAGCAGTCGTAGGGGCATGGCACATAAAGATGTAGTCACTCAGAGCTGATGGATTAACAAGCTGTGTTGTTCTGCATGTCAGTAGTACTGATCCAGTACATCTGCATCTGATCACACATCTCCCACAGGTGTTCAGCAGTGATTATATAAAGAATCAGGTCACAGATCATTAGCACGATGTGTTATCTGAGAAAGTCCAGATTTCTATAAGGTCTTATTTCCGATAATAAAGAGACTTCAATCGACAAGTGTGATTTGTCTCAGTTAAATTTAGGTAATTGCAGAAGTAAACTATTTAAATGTATGCTGCAACATTCTTTTAACATCACTTGATACTAAATAATACTGAAAAGCTGCCTGACGCCACTAAAACGTGTTGCACACACTTAATTACAGTCTCTAGTTTTAAAGTGTAACTACAACACTCCATTACAGTAATTTGCATTCAGATATTTGAGAATGCAAATTAATATTCTGCATGTAAGTGGAAGTTGAAGTTTGGGCTGGTGTAACAAGAGTAACAAATTAGAATTTTAGTTGCAAAAGTAGTTCATTATACTGGAAGAATTAGGGAATTCAGTTCTGCTACAAATGCACCTTTTCATTGCATTTGAGTTACAGAGTTGGCTCAATATGAAGCATTTTCCAAATGTAATGTCCTGTCTAAAAGTTGTGGTCACAAACATCCAAAGTTCTTATAATATTACTGTACTCTACAGGTGTTTACAGGTATATATGATTTTTAAACAGCTTTCAGTCATGACAGCCTAGACATGATACGTTGCTCCATACCCTTAAGAAGTTAGAAATAGACAGTGAAGTATTTTAGCTGAAGCTGGAAAATATTTTTAAGCATATAACACGATGCCAAGTTACACAATTCTTAATTCCTTTTCTCCCCAATAACAGTGTATGCTTTCTTTTGTTTTTCAGCTGGGAGACTTTTACTTAGAGCTTCACTGGGATTTTCAAAGTTGGGGTGAGTCTATAATATTTTTTTAACATTAAACAGTAAAATTAAACAGTATTTATGAAAGTAATCAAGTATTTCTGTACAGTATGTTAACTTGATTAAATCAAAACAAACATATCAGTGTGAAAATGCAAAAAGTGTTTTTTAGATTAAAATACTTTTAAATAAAGAAAAAAAGTACCTTAAAAAGAGTTATAGGCAAACATTACAGTATCCTGAGATCCTTCTGTGCAACCTGCTGAAATTGATAGCCCTGCCATGAAAAGTACTGTACTGTTACTGTTTTATATGACAGTTTCACCTTTGTCACTGTTTTATGAAACACTAAAGTATAAAACTGAAGATTTTATGCAGGTAAACATAAAACTAATGAAAATACATTAAGGAAAGAAACATTGTAAAGGGTAGTCAGGGCATGACTGATGTGAAGAGTTTCTTCTGGTGAACTGCAGTTTTCACTTACTGCGGCAGAGTGTAGCTCCCTCTAGTGAGCAGCTCCACCTCTATCAGTGGTTTAGTTTCATTCACCCTTAAAGCCAACATTGTTTTTTTTACAGTGAATGCTGCATTATTTTCCAAGCCAAGCCTCAATAGAAGGCGCACCTTAAACTTGTAGGTTGTTGAAATTGCGAGGCTGCGTGTTCTACCTGTGTTTGCTTGTTGGTTTTTTTCCCAGGTGCTCTGGTTTCCTCACAGCTCCCAGACATGCTGGCAAGATTGTTTAGCATCTCTTAATTGTCCAAGTGGGTGTGTGCGTCAGCACAGACCTCCAGTCTAGGGTGTAATCTCATCTTGTACCCTCTACCTACCATGAAAGGCCACTCTTTCACCTGGAGAGCCCAAGTATAGAAAGATCTAACTTTTCAAAAGCTGAAAAAAGCAGTGTGACCCTGAGTGGATCAACTAGTAAGGTGCTGGACAGGAATAGACATGGGGCCCTGCTGTCCAGGAAGAGGCTTATCATTTTGTGTGCCTGAGATTTCTACTTATAGCCAAGCACAGTTGGAGTGGAGCAGGCTTGAGTCAGTCCGTGTGTTTTTGGCTTGGCTGCATAACAGTAAAAGCTTGCGGACACTTGGCTTGTAATGTTGTCAGCAAGAGCCGCTCCTCCAGGCACTGAGCTCTGATGGCTTGTCAGAAGGTGAATGGCTGAGACTGTGGGTATATCCGGCGTGTACAGTCTGCCCACGTTTCCACCCCCCGGAAGGGTCGGGGATCGTTATGGGTTGTTGGGAAAGGGCAGTTCCACATTGGAAAGAGATAAAATAGGCAAATGTGCCTTTGGCTGAATATGTACATGTGCATCCAGCTTAAATAGCATATGAAAGATACAATGGGCAACTGTGAGTTCCCAAATAGAAATTGTGAATAAACAGGCACACATTTATTTGCAATGGCTCCAGTGAAGGAGGTCAGCACCTCAGAGGGAGTGTCATAGCTCCCAGCTAGTCAGCCTAAGCACTTGTTCTGAACTAGTGTACTACTCAATTAAGTTAGTAATCCAAATAACTCTTGCAAGGTTTCTGATTGAAGAAAAGAATACAGAAGTTCAGCAAAAAATGCTGGTTTTGTGCATTTAAATCTTTTTTTCTTCTTTTGGGGTAGAATTTAGAGCTAAAGTACATCCTCTTTTGTCTTCTGGGATTATTCAGCTTTCTGCTTTTCAGAAGCCCTTGCCAAATTCGCTTGCACAGCAAAGCAACGTTATGCAAGACCTGACCTTGAGCCTCCGGTCTGTTTAAAAGACCAGCAAAACAGCCTTTTTGTTCCTAGTAAGAATAGGCCAAATTGGCATCCACAGCCCTGAACAAGAAGAAATATCTGGCGCTTTCATTATTTTCTAAGTGTCACCAGGGTTATTTACCATTTTGGGCTTGGTTAATTCCTGGATAATTGACATCTTTCAAGCAGAGAAAGGTAAATTTAAACCTTTAGTCTGATTTTTTGTTAAAGAGAGTGGAGTCTGTATTTGTACTTTATATACTTTTTCATACATGTGTACAGTCAACTTTTTGGCGATCTTTATTCAAGTGACCACTGATGATATCACTTTTAATTTAAGTGTACCAGGAAACCTGTGACTACAGTTCTCTTACACCAGAACAGCCCCCCAACCCTGTCTTAGGTGACGTTTTTGGCAACTTTTTATCTGCATATAAGAAATGGTAAAAAGCTAAAGATTCTTATCTTGGATGAACGCAGTTGAACTTTATTTAAAATTAATAAAAACTTTAACCCATGGCGCATGAAAAGTAGCAATATTAAGTGCTTTAAGTGGTTTGTGTTTTCTAACTAAATGTCTTAATTTCAAATAATTTCAAAGCTATATTTATAGAAAGATTATTATTTTTAACATTTTACTATCAGTAGTTAATGACCGGTGCAGCGGAATGAATCAATATAGACCTAAGAAGAGTATTATCACTGATAAGTCTGTATCACAAGTTTGCATTCTTGTGTTTCAGCTATGCTGGGGACACTGAGTTTGACCACTTGTGTAAACTTGCCCTTCTGGTAATGATTAAGGGAGATGTATCTTTTTGTCTCCTCTGGCTTTGGCAAAACAGCTGCAATATGCCACCTGAGGTCAAGAAATAATTCGAATTCCATCCAGTTCAACAGTCCTGTTTTATAGGTAACTTCGCAGTTAGTGAAGACCTGGAAGCAATAATATAGACACAGCTAAGTCAGCAATTAGTTTAAACCAAGTCGCTACAAGTGTGAAATGACAAGCAATAGACTGAACTAGTTAAAGTTAAGTATTTTTTCCACTGACATTTCACCCTTTGTATCTTTAGGCCAGTGGTTCCCAACCCTGGTCCTGCTGACCCACACACCTGTTAGTTTTTGTCCTAGCCAAGCCTTCAATTACACAATCAAACCCTTCATTGACTTAATATAATAAGATTAATTTAATGAATTAGTTGCAAGCTTAGCTGGTGACATATTCCATTACTAATTGAATTTGAGTTAGTGAGACAAACATGAGAAAACACAGAGGAAACGGTTATATTCTTGTGGGGAACTTTAAAATAATATAGCTTTACAGGCTTATTAATCAGTAGCAGTCAATACATGTATATTGCTCCTAGTAATTTTGTTGCTAAACATGTTATCTTTGTGTTTTCTGTGCTGTAGTGAGGGTTTAATTGCCATATCTTTATCTCTTTAGGAAAATGGTGAGATTTTGCAATGCATTTATTTTAGCATAAACTAATTTTTAAACTAGCTAAATATTTCAAGGTTTTTCAAAGTTTAGGTCCGCAACCTAAAAAAGTTTTATTTGGACATTTGTTGACATGAGCAAATTACACAACAGTAATAAGGAAACAGAACACTCGTTATTTTAAAATTGAGATTTGACTTAGTGCTTGTTTTAATGGCACCTGTTCTACACTGAACGTCTTTTTAGCAAAGTCTGTTTTGATTAAACAGCGGGAATAATAAGCATTTGCAGGTGAGGTACTTTCTAGTTGTTTTTGATTCCATTATGGCACATAGTGTGCCTGATTACTTCTTTATACGTATGGCAGAACTGTAAAGTGAATCCAGTGTCTTAAGTTACAAAAAAAAACTACTATGGAGGTCTACAGTACCCAACAGCAAGATGTAATGGCTCCATCACCTTAAAATACATAAATAGGCAAGTACATTTAGGGGGAAAGATATATCTTTGTATCTTTGTATGTCTAAACGTATTTGTCTGACAAAAACTGCGAAAAATGTTTTGTAGTGTCTGCATATCCGTAATATTTAAGAAGCTCTTGGAGCGGTTGCTTCAGGTACAAAAACAAATTTCTTTCAATTCACATTCAGTTCTGCAAACATTATTAAATGATTTTTCTGTGCCATTGTTTCTGTGAAATAAATATTTCAGCACACTGCAGCTTATCCTTAAGCTCTCCTTTTAAGTACACACAAGCAGATGGCAGTAGAAAGTGAATCAAATTATAATCACAGATCCATTATCAGAAATGCCTTTCCTGGTAAGCATCATGCCAACCCAGAGGCTGTCTCCAGATTCATATGGCGCAAGATGTGACTGAAAGTACACAGGCATCCCTGCCCCGAACAGACCTCCATTCATCATTGGGCCACAGAGAGAGGAAGTTTAGTTTAGCCAGTCAGCATTAGCCAGCATTTCACAGGGAGGTGGGAAGAAACTGGAGGTAATCCATGCAGACACCGGAGAACATGTAAACTCCACACAAAGTACCTTGAATTGGACCCAAAACCAGGGAGATAGCAGTAGTAGCTACCATGTCCCCATTTCCCCCATGTGCTAAGAGTATAGGAAAGTTTGTCAACAGCCCATCTACAGTAGCTTATATTAGTAGTTAGCAGAAAATTGATTTATCTCATCCAGCAGTTGCTTGAAAGAGAAGGTATGATGGTATCTGCTTCAACAGCATCTTTAGGAACCTTGTTGCAGACACCCACAAATATTTGTATAAAACAATGCTTCCTTGTAATGCCTTTTTTTACTTGTCTTTCAGTGCCTTTGCTTTCCCGAATTCTGCCTTCAGATGCTTGTAAAATATACAAGCAAGGTATCAACATCAGGTATGTTTTTCTTTAGAATGTATTTGCTCAGTAAGTGATCAGTATCCTACCTTTTAGGTGTGATAGCCATAATGTGTTGTCTACACCAAACACAAAAATGTAAGAAATCGTGATGTAATGTTCTCTGATTTGACATGAAAAAATGTATATATTGTGCACATCAACGTTCCTCTCCTTTCCAAGTTAGTCTTCAAATCCGTTTTTGTAAAACATTACTCTTTTGAAGAAGTGTCTACTGATCTTTCATACTGTTGTAAATGGTGCACTGTAGGTGACTGTTCTACATGTGAAAAACCAATGTAGGACATTCTCATAATGTTGGAAGCTCCTACCAGTTATCCACTTCAGCAATGTTACTCTGTATGATTGGAATTAAGAATGCACAGCAGAGTGGTAATAGTTGTTACGAACTGAAAATGTGAAATCATAAATGCAAAAAAGAACTGTTTCTGTGTAATTAATTTTCCAATTATTCTTCAGATTAGCACTTCCCTGTAAAAACTGTCCTTTATAGTGTGATGCAACAAGCTAAAGAATAAAATGGGTGGATGGATTGTATTTTTCAGAAGATGAAGATGACAGGTAGAGGTTTGGCACAGATTATACTCTAAAATAGACCTTACACAGATGGGAGTTACATAAGTGCTAGTGACCCTGTGCTGTAGATTTTATTCATCTCCTGTCAGCTTGACATCTAGCCACTGTGGAATTAACATTAGAGACTGCACATAGCTCCCGCATTATGTTTAATCAGCAGCAGGGTCAGGTTAGGATCATTGGTGGCATCTGTTAAAGCATCTGGATTTTGGTTTTTGGCTTGTGTTTGGAAATGGAAGAATTTGAGGGAAAATGCCTTAAAAAAGGAAAGGTACCATTAAAGATGTTTTTACGATGGACACTTAATGCTGTTGATCTTCTGTAATCCTTTACCAGGAAATTAGCAAATACCTCTCATCAGTCCACCTCTAGCTGTAATTGCAGCTCTAACACATGGGTTCCAAAACAAGTTTCGGATATGGGACCACTCATCACATGCAGTAGCCTTTCATGGAATATGGGAAGTGATTCAGCACTGTCTTGCGACTGGAATTATGCTTCCTCTCAGTGTATGATAACAACTACCTATGAACCTTTGTGGCTATCTGAATTGACACATTACCTTCATTAATTCTCCAGAGTCACTCACACGCCAACACTTATGTCTCATTGTACATCAGCCTTTTCTCCCATAGCATAACCCACTAAAGAAAGTGCCTGGTTTGCTATTGCTTTCCAGCATTCAAGAATCCTGGGACATGCCACATGCTGGACTGTTTCTAGTAATTTGGATACACTTCTAGAACATGCTGTTCCAGAATATTTTGTTGATGTTTATTTAATTTAATTACATTCCAGAATTATTTATTTATGCCCCACGTATTTCAGTGGGGCAGTGTATGTGTGTACACATCAATACAGACTATTCTTATTGACTGTACCGCTATCAAAAGATGATTACCAAAAGCAGGTCAGTAGAATATTAACTTTAAATAACTTTAAAGAGCCTTTGTTATTATTTGGTTATCAACATACAGTAGGTTCATGCTATATGTGACAAATACATAATTATTTATGAGCCCCTGGTAACTGGTAGAGCTTCAGTTAATATATAACAAATTTCATGCAATGTTGATGCCTTCCATTACTATAATTCACCTAATTTTGTTTCATTTAAAGTACAAAGCGTGCCCTAATGCTGTCTAGCTCTTCACTGTTAGGCCTCACCTAATCGTTCCTTCATTGAAATGTTTAGAGATACTAGAGCTTTTCACCATTTGATGTGAAGATCATTAAGGGTTGTTTTTCACTGCAAGTGAGAGCTCCATATTTGGCACCTGGAAAACTTGAAATAATCCAGACAAGGCTGGAGTCCTTTGACTGCCATGTCTTCTGTTAGATTCAGTGTAGAATCAACAGTGAATGAACATGAATGTATGTTTAAGTACAGTAAAAGTAATGGGCTTTGTGAAGCAATACTTAGCACCTGTTTATTGATCTGTTACATTTTTGCAATAATAAACATTATAGTACAATAATATAGTTAAAAAACATATACTTATACCATGTTTTTTTTTTCCAAATAAGTAATTGCAAATAATTTCTTTGCTACAGTGTCAGGCATGACATTTTATGTTGTTTTTTTTTACTGCCTTCCTTTGGATCATAGGCTGTAATGGATGTGCACTTCATCTTTAGCATTGCTCTACTTCATCACTACCCAAAGAGAGAAGCGCTGACTGGAATAACTTCATTTAAAACTGACTTTAGTCATTCATATTTAATACTGTCACGCTTTTAATTTTTATTTCAGGCATAATTTCAAAAATTAATTTCAAGTTTCAAAAATCATTTTTCCTTGTTTGTGTAGTACATAGTGCTGTGAGATACTTTTTGCAGGTATTGGAAAGCTATTGAATTAGATGTTTGGATGATGGTTTGTTGTTACACGTTATTTGACTGGAAAGGACTCCAATCCTATACCATTCATAACTTTTAGATTTCTTTTAATCTATGTGTGAACCCTGATTTTGAGGAAAATGTTCTACCATTTCTTCTGTATTATTAGGACCGAGTGTTCTGTCTGTAGATTAACAATGTTGAGGAGAGGCAGTATTTCCCAGTTGGCAGTCACTACAAAATAGTTCTTCGTAAAGCAAAGCACTTAAAACCCTGGAATAAAATCCTCTTTTTTGTGTCTGAATTCGAGCAAATGAAAGCAGTGTGTGAAACAATTACTGATTTCTGAATTTTAGTGAGAAAATAAAATATTTATGAGCAATTAAGTCTGTAGCTCTACATGATGCCTGTAAAGGCTTTGCTGAAGCCGGTTATTCTCAAATTGGCCATGGTGTTATTTCCCCCTGCTATCAACGAGGCAGTGTTCAGAAACCATCACCCGTTGTTAGAATAATAAGTGTTTCTCAACACTTCTCAAGTGGCGACTCGTGTTTCTCTCTGGCGTCTTACTGGCTCGGTATCAACACTCCCTTGTGTCGTTTTTGCCTCCTCTCTCAGGCTGGACACGACGCTCATCGACTTCACAGACATGAAGTGCCAGCGGGGGGATCTGAGCTTCATTTTCAATGGCGACGCTGCGCCCTCCGAATCCTTTGTCGTTCTTGATAACGAACAGAAGGTCTACCAGCGCATCCATCACGAGGTAAAGCGATTCGTGGCTGAGAAACCAGTGACAGAAAGCCTGCTTGTCAACCTCAGAGCATTATCTGAGTTGGAATGGGAATAGAGTGTTACACATTGGCAGATGGCCACAGAATATGCAGTTTTCTGATGGTGTCATTCATACAAGAGCTCTCCTAGCAAGATCATAGATTACTTTCAGTTGCATTTTGTTTTGTTTTTATATATACAGTGGTGTATGCCGTGACATTTTTTGATATTTGTGGATAGTCAGGATTCTTGTCTGAACTAGAAAAGGCCTCTGCTTAGAGCTGAGGTTGGGGGTCTGTAAGTGTGAAGACATCTTAGTTTAATTATGTTCTGTCGATAGCTGCTCTAGCCTAGCTGGGCTCTGTTACTGTTAGTTGAGCTTAGGGTAACCATGGGAAACCATGAGCATGAAGTGTTACCAATGACAGCTGTCCTTAGAATGAGAATTATACAATTGAAGTAAACATTGAATAAAGTAACCAAATGCAAAAGGAGGTTAAGCTTTATTATTATTTCTGTGAATGTATTAAGGCATTATTTTTTAAAGAGAAAACAAATTATTTGATTCAGCAGGAGCTGATGTGTCAGAATAAACATGAATTCTGTTATCTTAGACTCCGTTTTCCTCTTAAGAGTTTTTACGTCTGTAATTGCAATCAATATAAGGATATTTTCTCTGCAACCTAAAAGTAAAACATGCTATCTGTAATTCAGTATTAGTTATATAAGCAATATTGATTTTTTTTTGTATAATGGGGATTTGTGTAAGTTTGGAAATACGCTGTATACTCTTCCTCTGTGTAACCTTGTGTATGCAGGACTTCAGTGGCAGTTGTCTGGCTTCTAGCGTTAAACCTGCTTGGTATTTTGTATTTTCTGTAATGTAAATTCCAGGAGTCAGAAGTGGAGACAGAGGAGGAGGTGGATATTTTAATGAGCAGCGATATTTATTCTGCTACACTCTCCACTAAGTCCATTACCTTCGCCCGAGCCCAGACTGGCTGGTTGTTCAGAGAAGACAAAACGGTTTGTCTGTGTTACTTCACTTCTTGATTTAATTGTTAGCATGTCTTTAAGAGCTTTGGTCACACATTCTGCACTGACTGGAATAAATATATCTAAATGTGGACATTACATTGAAAGGGCACTTATGGTATAATTACACCAAGAAATAAACCCTTTTTGAAAGACATAAATATATTTATTACCTGCTTCTCCAGGCCAGACGGGCTAAGTACAATGGGGCTGGTTAACGTTTTGAGGCTGGCCAGGCTGCAGAAGGTTTTGAGCCACTTATCCATTGAAGTCCTTCGCAATTAGACAGGCTGTCAATACCTATAAATCTTCAGATGTACTCTTTCAGTTTATATATCTGTGCTGAGCAAAATTGTTATGTTCATCACGGCTTTTCAAATGTTCTTTGCCATAAGCAACACAATTTAATCTATTTTGTCAAATTTCACCATCACAGAAGACTTTGAACCTTATTACTTATTCCTTTTGTCTTGATATAATGCAGAGTTTCTTAACAGAACACTTTGTCATAGAGACATCAAAATGCAACAGATGAGCTTTAGAACCAACGTCTTCTGTTGCATTTTAATGATTCTCGGTGTCATCATTCCCATAGATTAACCCACAGACACCGTATTATTCTTTCGTAGTCATGCAAATGTGTTGTAATTAAAGTAATCATATACTATTTGGTCTTTTTAGTTTGATAATATGTTTTTTTTTGTTTAGGAAAGAGTGGGCAATTTCTTAGCAGATTTCTACTCTGTGAATGGTTTGGTTTTGGAGTCCAGGAAACGAAGGGAACATCTTAGTGAAGAAGACATTCTGCGAAATAAGGCCATAATGGAAAGCCTCAGCAAAGGTGGAAACTTAATTGAGCAGAATTTTGAGGTAAGTTTTTGTTTGTATGTTTGTTTGTTTGTTTGCTTGTTCACACAAAATTTGTGAGTTTACAATCCCTTTCTTTTGAAAGGAAGAATGTTTTTATTTTCAACATGTTCCACACGTGTTATAGTTTTATTTTAGTGACATCATTTTTCAAAAACAACGTGAAACTCACTGTATTTCGAATTTAGCCAGTCATAAAGTTGCAGCTTTAAAAAAAGAATGTGGTCAGAAACAAAGCTGCCTCCAATAGAGAACAGAGTTCTGTTGGATTTCATATTCTTGAAGTGTTAAGAGGGTGGCACAGTCTTACAGCTCTAAGGTCCTGGATTCAATTCCAAACCTAGGGTGCCGTCTGCTTGGGGCTTTTATGTTCTTTTTGTGTTGGAGTGGATATTCTCTGGGTGCTCTGGTTGCCTCCCACAGTCCAAAGACAACCTTGTTAATTGGCTTCTGGGAAAATTGGCCCTGGTGTGGGTGGGTGTGTGTGCATGCCCCGAGATGGACTGGCATCCCATCCAGGGTGTACCCTGCCTTGTGCCGGTTGCTTGCTAGGATAGGCTCCGGTTTTCCCATGACCCTGTGCTGAGTAAAGCGGTTATGAGATGGAGGTCCAGGATTAGGGGTCGTGGTACACACGACCAGGAGGATGCTGACTGCCTGGGGCATAGAGGAGATGTCAGCGTGATGTCATCAATGTCCTGTCTTCTCCCGCCTTAGCCTGCGCGGCGCCAGTCCCTCACCCCCCCCTCTCCAAACACTATATCATGGGAGGAGTACATCTCCGCAGAAAACGGGAAGTAAGTAGCCATGTTTGTTTTATGGATTAAATCTTGTCTCATAAATGGAAAGAGGCACGCAAGAAAGCCTTTCCTTATCACGGGAAGGCTAGGCCTTTCATTTGGAAAGTGTTTTTTTGTTTTTCATTTAATATAATAATAACATTAAGAAACATTAGGAACAATATATTAATGGAATAAATGACATTTTTAAGTAATCATTGTGACATTTTCATGATACAACTTCAATGGCATCGAAATATCTTATACCGTTACGAATTGAGAAAGCCGTTATTAGTATGTTATTGCTAATGGTACTTGCCACCAGTCAGGGGGAAAAGTAGCTATTATATCAGAGGGAGAGCCAGCATCTCTCTGCCTTTGAGTGACATGGGTGAGGTTTGTACAGGAAGGTTTTAATTGGCTTATTCAATGAAGGCACTTGTTTGTAAGTTGAAGATGGACTGGATATTGATATCTGCAGTTTTGTCCAAGCTTTGTGATTGACTCTGGCTGCAGTTCACCAGGCAGCAGAGCACAATTTGCTTTTATTCATCCAGTTGTCTCTGGGTTGCCAGATGACAGCATCCTGGTCATTGAGCTCACCATGTGAAAAGTGGGGAGTGATCTCTGAAAGGGCACTTTTCTAAGGAGAACTTGCATGCTCTTCACTTTCCAAAAGTGAATTCAGGCAGTTCCAAAGTGTGCAGGTTCTAAAGGACAAATAATTGAGTACCAAATGTAACAAGAACAGGAAAAGGGTTTTCTGTCTGAAAATGTGTTGGTTACAACCTGTGTAGTCAGAACAGAATAAAAATGACATGTGAACAAGTATGTCCATGAAACATTCAGGGAGCAATGTAGCTTAAAAAAAAAATCAGAAAAAAAAAAAAAAAAAACAAGCCTAAAAACCAAAAAAAAAAAGAACCCCAAAGGTTTTTTATAAGGGAAGGTCAAACAGTTGCCAGTATCAAATTAAAAATGACAGGGATACAGCTTTTGAGGTCTAAAATCTATTTGTCACTTACTAGTAAATCTTACAGAATCTCTTCAGGTTGTCTCTCACACAGTAAAATAGCAACAATTGCAGATTGTAAAATGAATCACTGTAACAACATACAGTAACTAAATCTCTGCAGAGGGGACTGAGGGATATGATAATTTGTACTTTATTTTTAGGTAGCAGTTTTGCTCCATGGTGCATAGATTGTACATGCAGATCAATGTGGATAAAATATTTACAGTATACTACTGTCTTCCCTGTCGCTGGTCAATATTTCAGGCTCACATTTGACTTTTAGGAATCTGATACCACAAAGCCTCATAGTTACACTTTGTTTCCACCCCCTCCAGCAGCAGGATTATAATAGATGCTTATGATTATGATTATAATACATGAAGCCCAGAGGGTTTTGCATGTTTTCTGGTTATGCTTCACCAGATATCAGCATGTTGCCTTTGCTTATAAAATGGTATCCAGAGCTGTTACAAGGCAAATGCATATAAAGGTTTAACGTTGTGTAGGATTTATTTTTGCATTTTTTCCTGGAAAAGGAGACTGTGGTGGTCTCATTTTTTAGATGAATAATAACGTGGTCATTCAGTCAAGCTCTCCTTCTCCAATATCAGACTCGTTGTGCTTGTTACAGAGCTCCTCATCTTGGTAGAGAACTGGTCTGCAAAGAAAGCAAGAAAAACTTCAAAGCGACTATAGCGATGAGCCAGGACTTTCCCTTGGGCATTGAATCGTAAGTGTGTCCTCTTTTAAACTGTCCACCACGCCAAAACTTCAGGAACAATTAACCACAGATTTATCAGCACTCTGTAACCTTTTGTTTTAAACTGTAATCTGACAAAAGCACATTATGAATTTATGAAGTCAATAAAAGAAAACCAATGATGCATTATACATTATTAGTGTAAACATGCATTTTATGTCATGAATTTGGAAAGTAAAACATAAACCTTGTTTGACAATAAAACACTAACAGAACATTGCAGATTATTAAGCACCGTTTATTTAGAAAAAATGAGCACGGAACTTATTTTCGTATCTGCTGTATATGTTTTATACCTGCTTTCTTTTGTCAGGGTGTCACACTAAACATTTTAAGTCTCATTTCCCCCATAAGTAATCCTTCACTTGAAGTCTACTTGCACTAACATTTGCACTTGCAAATGTGCACTTGCACAGACATAAGTACTTTTTGCTCAGTATATTGAAGTCAGTACTTATGGGCATAGTCCCCATCTTTGATTGTAAAGACCTTTCTTACTTAAGGGCTCATATGCAGCTGGACATTGACCTTTGTAGACAGTTTATCACTGAAATATAAAGGAAAATTATTCAGATCCATAAGATGCTAGTTAAAAAATCTGCAGAACAATTTTGAAGTGAATTCTTAACATTTGGGATAATTCTGGGAAGTGGTCAGGTATGAGTAAGTATTCTAAACCCTCCCATTGAGTGGTGTGGTTTGATGGTCATTGCTGAATGCTATTGTATGTTATTTCCCCAGCTGACTGGGAAATGTAAAAAGACGAAAAAGCTCAATTGTGTCTACAAGTTCCCCATTGTGGTTTACTTTGTATCGATAGTGAAGCTTATCTAATTAAGGAAGGTGTAATGGTTACACAACATTACAGAACATAGTTAATTCAGCAATGTAGTATGCAATGTACAGTGGAAGAAGAGATTAATTCCATGCTGATCAGTGCTTCTTAGTTGCTTATGTACTGACGGGACTCTGTTCTAACCTATTATGTGTGCCTTGTGCTGTTTTTTTTTAGGTTATTAAATGTTTTAGAGGTGATTGCACCCTTCAAGCACTTTAACAAACTCAGAGAATTTGTACAAATGAAACTCCCACCTGGATTTCCTGTCAAACTAGGTAAGAAGACTAATTATTGGGTTGCTTTTCAACAGAACTTTAGATTAAACGTATCTGTTACGAATGATGTGATCAATGCTGTATCAGTGCACACTTGGTAAGTACTTTGTGGTGAGCTACATGCAGTTGCAAGTAGTTACCTTTCAGGGTCAGTGAAATAGTGTTGTCTACCAGAAATAACATAATCATAATGTTTTGTCTTGCCGGGATTTGTGTGTTAGCTTTAGTAATGGCCCAGACACTTTAAAAAACAAAATGCCATGGAATATAAAATCTGCAGAAGGTTATTAATGGTAGTGCTACTAAAATTACAAGATCTGTGTCTTTTGTCTTGCAGATATACCTGTTTTTCCTACAATAACTGCTACAGTGACCTTTCAGGAGTTCCGCTATGATGAATTTGAAGACTTCATCTTTACTATCCCCAGTGACTATAAGGAGGACCCCAGCCGATTTCCTGACCTTTAATCCTTTTTCAGCAAGACTCTGGGTGTCTTCTTTGTGGAACACAGCTGACAGAAACAAACTGAATCCAGAAAAAGATATTAACGTAACACATAAGGGTCTACTTAATCTGCAGTTTCACAATCTTGTGGAAATCATGAAACAAGGGATTGCCTGTGACTGTAACCATTAATGTCACTTTCATACATCTTGAAAATATTGCACAGATTACTGTCTTATTCATTAGAGCCCCCTTCGACTTTCTGATGCATATACAAGGTGAGCAAACAAGTGGTGGCACAGACTTATGGAAAGGATTGAAATTGTGTAGATTGTTAAACATAGACTTAAGAGGACTGACAAATCAGATAAGGGTAAGGTTAATCTGTGTACCCTGTGGTCTATTTAGAAAAGCCTTGATTGATCTCTGTTTGGTGTTAGAATCACTTATCACATAAAAAAATACTGCAGGTGCTGCAGCCTGGACCATTTTTTAATGATTGCCATTAGGGAAAAAAGGGATAATCCAAAATTAAGGGAGTATTATAAAAAGCACATCCGGAATACCAAATAGTGAAATTTGCAAATGTACAGTACAAAGAAAACCAGGTTTATTTCTCAGAAGCACTAGTTTACATAACCTGCCTGGCAATTCCTCTTTAAGTATCAAGTAAGCAGCATACAGGATAACTATATAATTCTTTTTTTCTTGTTAGTTGGAAAGCCTTTTTCTTTCAAAGTATCTGTTCAGTTGGAGTTTCTGAATTTCTAGACACTTCATTTCATTATGGCTTTAATGTAACCAGTAAGGAGTAGTCATTTTAAAGCTTTTTATAACTCAGTGAATCTGTGTTGCACATATTGTATGACACAGGCATACACTAAATACAGTCTACTAAATGTTTTTTCTTTATGCCGTGACTGGTCCATGAAACATGTTTACTTCCTCTGCAATTTAAGTAGACCCCTAGTAACAAGAGTAGAAGAGAGAAGAACCCTGTCATTTTAAATGCTGTATTTAATAGTTATAAAGGGATGAAATTGTATTTAGCTGTAATGAGGCACTAATTACATTGTGTAGGTTCTTTTTAAATTGCAACATCCTAATGACTGCCTTTTTCTAAAGGCATCACATCTTGGGGCTTCCACAGGCTTCAGTGTATCTAAACAGCACCAATCTGCCATACTTGAGTGGAGTGCTATACAGCTTCACTTCAGAAGGCATAAGGTGCCATTTTGTTCATGTTTTTATTCAGTTCCTTTTGATACCACAGTTCACATAGAACATTTGAAAAACAAATCCTTTGGGAATGTCTTAACCAGTACTCTTACTGCTAACCTATCCTGAGCAACCTCCACTCCTGTGAGGCTGTTCGTATAAATACTTCTGCTAGCCTTGTTTTCATATGAGTTTGTAAACTATGTAAGAAAATGTACACTTGACTAAAAGGAAAGGTACTGAGCAATGTACATTTCAAGCTACGAAGAATGCTTTTTGCTAAGTGATTGAATAAAAAAGAAACTTCAAGTAAAATGTAAATGGCATTTTTACAGATTGCAAGACCCAGTCTTTTTTCTTGTGCATGGTGTTAATACCTATGTTTGTTAGTCCTCTGTTACCTCACGCTTTTTAGGTTTTAATTCCCCCCCCCATCTCCTGCATATAAGTTAATTATGGGATAGTTTTCTTACTGTTAGTCAACATGGGTGCTTTGATGGATTGGGTTTTTATGCAAGCATCGATGTGAAATATTATCCAGGGGTTGTGAAAGGTATTTAGTTTTTGTGCTTGCAGGAAAATGTTTGTACATAATGTATTAATACTGTGTTTTTGGAAAACTCACTCTTACCTTGTGATGGGTAATGGGTGAATGAACACGCAAAAGACAAGCCTACCAGTCTTTCTGTGCTTATTTATTGCAGACTATCACCGCGTGGTATAATCCTGATCCCTAGCCTTGGTGTTTAAACCTGGTACAGAATGTGTCTGGGGAAATTACACACCCCTAACAACTAGAGTATCACTACAGTTGTGTACAGTTATACATCTGTAAATTACCTCGTTCAAAAAAAAAAAACAAGAAACCTTTGTAATGGACTGTTATGCCCTTCTTTAATAGCGCAGCTTCTGTAGTTAGATTTTCCATCTTTTTCTACAAAAATATATAGACGGGCTTTTCCTTTCTTTCTAAGAAAAGCTGTTTTAATAATGAAATACCAAGGTGAGGTGAGAGAGCTTCGTGGTCAAAATTCCCACATTTGTCTTGCTACAAAAGAAGCTCATCTGCAGAGTTCCCTGCTTTTTGTTTCATCTGAGAAGACCACGATTTCACGTGTCTAAATACTGTTAAAGACATTTTCTTTAAAAATCATGCACTACATTCTCAATACCCATGCTAGGCAGGACTGCAGTCGTCGGCAGTGTGAGAAGTATGGGAAATAAGATGCGCCAGTGGGTTTTTATTCATTTCTTTACTCTAATCTCAGCTGAAACAGAACTCAGGAATTCACTGCAGCTTTAGAAGCGCAGAGTCGAGGAGTCTAGCCTTGGTGTAATGTATTCTTTCACTCGTCTGCTTAAGGAACTCGGATGTCTTGCTGAAGTAATCAGCATTATTATTTATGTCCTTTGGTACACTAATATTTTTGTATAAGCTCACATTCTGTTTTGGTAATGTAGATCTATTTTTGTTCTCCTCTGTTCTGTTGCTTATCAGTACAACCACAGATATCAAATGATACCATTAAATGCTTCCATGTCTCGCTACTGGATAGTGAGGCACTTTTCCTAAGTTATACACTTTGTAGCAGTTTTATACTTACCAACCTCACACATTATACCTTTTGTTGTCTGTGTGCTTGGTATTTGAGTTTGTTTTTTTTTAAGTTCTGTACCATGGCTTGAGCTTTCAGGACCTTATATAAAACACTGCAAGTCTTACTCGCATTCTCATGCATAAGATGCAGATTGTACAGCAAGAACGTTATATAAGCCTGCCACACTATTTTCATATAAAAAAAATGTACCTAAATAAAATGTCCATGTATCAAGGCAAATAAAGTGTAATTTTTTATAGTGATGTGTGGAGTGCATAGCATTATTTGTTTACCGGACCGGTATATGATCAATTACCTGCATTCTCCCAGATGAAATTGTCCTGCCGTCTTTGCCTTCAGGAATGTTTTTGTATGACATGCCCTTAACATAACGTGGAGATTCCTGTCTTCTGTTTAAAGAGGTTCTGAAGCTGCAGCTCCTGATATGTGTGCTCCCTGCAGGTGGTTCACAAGGCGACATAATTACAGAAAAGAGAATGAAATTTGGTTGCAGAAGGAAAGGTAAGGCCTCACCTTCAGTCTGTGTCTTGGTTTCAGTACTTCTGAATGTGAAAATTAACAGTTGTACTCCGAAGTAGTAGATGTTGCTTCTTTACATCTTAAGTGTAACTAGTAAGACTCATTTGTTCATTGGTTTAAATTAAATTTAAATTTGTGTACAATTTGTAGAGAACTGTGTCAGGGGGCTTCAGATGCAAAGGAACAATGTAAATGTTCGTTCCACGTTGAAAAGCAGGTGTTCTTACATCTAAAGAAGGCTCAACGGCCAATATGATGTTCTTTCTGGTTTTCAGTGTAGAATTCACCTTTGCTCCTGTGATGAACAGGATATTAGGCTGCTGTAGTGTCAGCATTATATACTCTAACATTTAAAACCAACCTTTAAAAATGTGCTCTTGTATGATCTGCATTGTCTGAAGACATTTTTTTAAATCTGAAAACTGGACCTTCAATAAAAAGTAGCGTTTACTTTAAAAAATATTTAATCGTATTTGATTACTCCACAGTTAGGTTGTGTGTGGTACACTAGAGTGGAAACAGGCTAACAATTTAACCCATAAAAAAGTGCCGTGTTATGATTCAAAGTTATAAGATGATTTTCTGATTAGCAGTATTTGATCAGTACATTTAAAAATTAAACGTATTGCAGGTTATTAAACAGGTTACTTTAGTTCACTTTTTTGGTTCATTCCAGCATATTTTATCCTGTACACAATGTACTGTATTAAATATGGTGTACAGAAATAGTAAATATTCTAACCTCTGTCGAGAATGTATACTCTAATGCATAGCAAAGCAATTAGGTTTGGCACAGCAACGTTTTTGGAATGCAAAAAGAGTAAAACAGAAAAGTAAATACCCTCTATGAAAAACGCAACCGATTACACCAACAAGCAAATAAAGGTACGCTACAGCAAAGTAGATTCACCGTATATTAAACTCAGAGCAGGTGTTGCATGTCGGACTTTTTGAACAACGTAGAAACACTGAGAATAGTAGAAGTGCCAAGGAAATGTTTTAAAAATCTGGATGCAAATGGATGTTATAAGACAGGCATCTCAGATTCCATTCCTGGAGGGCCTAGTGTCTTCTGATTTTAGTTCCACCACAGATCTCAATTACATAGTTGAACTAATTATTTAGATGCATCATTGTAATTCTTCTAACCAGACCCCTAGGTGTTTCATAGGCAGCTTGTACCTTTAATGAAGTGGGTACAGTATATTGTGCAAGCAATTGTAAAACCACCGAGGTAAAAGCCAGTGCATCATTTAGAAAATAATTAGGCTAATTGTTCAATTGACAGCTCAGGTTAGAACAAGAGACAAGGCACCCCAAGAATTTTGAGATCCCTGTTATATATCCTTGTTAAAACTGATGCCCATTACAACATGTTGCCAAAAGATAGAAGATTCAGCAAATAAAATCATAGTGTTCCTATAAATTAATGTGATAATGTTACAATTTAAAGTTTCTCACAAACAGGTCTGTAATTCTGCAGAACAAAATATTTAAATTAAATGTGAATATATATATTGTAAATGCAATATAAGCACTACAAAGAATTCTTTATATGTAGTTCCTTTTCTAGTACATCTCAAATTGCTGTACAACAGACAAGAAATTGAGACAAAAGAGTGCATTTAACTAGCAACACAATTGCAAACATTGTGCAACGTCAGCTGACTGCAGTGTTTTCTGGCTGCTTTGTTGGTCAACAGATCTTTGCTCAACAGATTTGGGAAATGATTTGTACCATGTGAAAGACTTGTCTCGATAGTTTAACCACAGATGGTTAGTTCAGCTAGTCAGTCTTCTGGTAGTGGTCTGAAACTGGTAGTCCTTTTTTATTTACTGCTGTGCCATTATCGGTATTACTGTTGTTGCTCGCCTTCATGAAAAAGTGAATAGAAATACAGGCGTGTTTCACGCTTAAGGTCAAAAAGACTTTAATTCAATGAGCAACAAGAGCCACTTTCCAGTCGAACACCTACTGTACACATATCGCAGCTCTCACAAGACTCAAATGTAGGTGTCTCAGCACCACAGTGCAATCGTTCTTGCTTCATTTGTGTTAATTTAATCTACTAGTAAAGAGCAACATCTTGTGGTGTTTGAGGACAATGTAAAGGATGTTTTTCTTTCATTAATTTTTTTAACTACAAATTCCATAGTGTGTTCAAAAAAGGGTTGTCTCTCGTCTTTATGTAATTAGTTTTCCATCACGTTTTTCAATAACAGAAGAAACAAATCCGGAGAAACGTCCGTCAAGACTCACATAAGATACATTTTGAATTGTCTTTCCTCCACAACGCTAGGCGGCGCCATACAAATCTGGGGGAACTCTATTTCATCTGTCGGACGTAGACGTTCTATTTCCGGGTCAAGGAGGAAAGGTGAAACAAGCTTTTACAACACATGAGAGTGGAGGAGCTGGTGTGTATACATCATGGCTATGGATGATCAAGCCGCAGGCCAACCAAGGGAAACCAAGGAGAAAAAGAAGAAACAGAAGAAGATGAAAGAAAAGAAGCAGAAGCTGAGCAAAACACAAGAAGAAAATACCGCAAAGGGAGCGAATGATACATCAGAAAATGACGTGAAACCTCCAGAAACGTCGTTCCCACCAACGTTTAGCGTTTCTGAAATTAAAAATAAACAACGCAGGCACTTCATGTTTCTAAAATTTAAGATGGAAAAAAGAAAGGTGACATTAATGTTTATTATAGCAAATAGTCACACCCCGTGTCCGCTAATTCACTTGCACGTGATATTAATGGCATGTTTCCACTGTAACATTCTACGACAGTCTGTTGCTTATGTCTAATTTTGTTTTGTATATTTTTTGTCGTTACCTGCAAGCCTCTACGGTGCTACGTTCGTTTCCGCACTAGTTTTGTACTACTCTGCTCGTACTGTATTTAGTACCCCCATCTACTGTGTCCTCCCATTGTGTCTTCTCATTGACCAGGGAATTCGCCTGCTCTTAAATTGTGTTTAAGGATGAAACATACTTGCCATGAGTTACAATTACGTTATAGATTGAATTCATGTATGAAACACCAGCTCAGACACAAAATATGTCCCCTGTTAACTAGCTTGTTTTCTTCTCCTAGGAAAAGTTAGCACTGAAGAAGAAGAGGAAAAAGGAGAGAGCGGCTCTTGGAGATAATGTAAGCCCCAAAGCTTTTGCAACGCCACGCAGTGTTTTGTGGTGAAGTGAAAATGTGATTTGACAAAAAATTAAGTAGGGTTACATTTTTGCCTCTTCCTGTATAGCGTTCCAACAGCCGACCTCGTAAGTAAAGGGATTTTTCTGTATGTTTTCTCTTCAGAATGCTCTGAAACATCATTGCGTGATCCATGTTTATGACAAGCATAGTAAGTTTGTGGTATGCATGCAAGTTGTGTCCATAATTAAATATGAACTTTTAGTTTTTTTTTTTAGAACAGTGGTTCGAAGAAATATTCCATTTGAAACCAAGCACTGTTTGGTTGTTGTTGGAAATGTACTTTTTACAGTTTGGGTGGCTGGAAAACTAAGTGATTAAGTTTTCGGTGAGAATGATCCAGTTGAAAGCACAGTGATAAAAGCAAGGGGCAGGCCAGCTTCCAAAGAGTATGTTTGTTTTGTCTTCAGGGAGCTTTCTTATGCATATAGTTCCACAAAGGGATCTTGGTAAAGTGTCATTAAAAATAATGGTGGATTCGTAGACTATGATTTCTGCTTCAATTGGATTAATTAGATTTGAGGTAAACAAGTTGATGAGTAAGAATAATTCTAGTCTCTGGAACCTGGCTTTCACCTTCATACTCACTCCTGGAAGCCTGTGTTTGGTATCTTGTCTGTCTGACTTTCATTGACATGCTTTACCCAGGCACCTCCGAAACCAGTCCCTAAAACAATAGAAAACCAGAGAGTGTACGATGAAACAACAGTGGACCCACAAGATGAAGAGGTAACTCTTTTTCTTCTTTTATTTCTTATGCCACCCATCATAAATGTTCTATTCTGATGCATTTGACATTTTCCCAATGGTTTCTGTTACAAATATTGTATGCTAGAATGCAGATGACACGCAGGGGATGACTGATGAAGTTCCAAGCGTATTAGCTGCCTGTTTGTATTTCATGTTTATATGAACTGTGTATTATTCTGATTTGGGGAAATAAAATTGCGTACAGGAAACCAACATAATGTGGGATATAATCCTGACACGCATATTTAAATATAAGGCTCTCTTTAATTTTTCACTTACTGAAAAAGTAGTTCCAGTTTTTTTGGGTTGTAAACATTCACTCCTATTGCAGGTGGCTTTTGACGAAGGAACTGATGAGTTTTCGTCTTACTTTAACCGTCTAATTAATCCCAAAGTCCTAATTACGACATCAGATCGACCCCGCGGGGTAAGTATGAATTGTTTTTTTATTGGTGGAAAAAGGACCTAAAATGTGTGTAAATATTTCTTATACCTTGGGAAAATAGGTCACACTGGTTGTTTTAGAAGTTAATCTTTAACCCTTAACATTAACATCAACTAAAAGCTTATTTTGGAAACTCATGGAGAAACTTAATTCTAGTTAAGAGAAGAAAAAAAGTTGTATCACCCTAGACAAAAATCAAAGATTCTTTCTGAAATTTTGACCAAACCCATCTTATGAAAACATTTCAAATGTTTATTTTCTCAGAGGACGGTGAAATTCTGTGAACAGCTTGCTACTGTAATACCAGATTCACATGTGTACTACCGAAGAGGCCTGGCTCTGAAGAAGGTCATCCCACAGTGTATAGCCAGAGGTTTCACATACCTGATAGTCATTAACGAAGATCGCAAAATGCCCAGTATCCTTTTAATGACTCATCGTGGTAAGGTCTTTTTCTTTTTAACAATAATGAACCATGTTTGTGGTACTGAGCGCACAGAAAAATGGGAGTAACGGCGGATGCACACTTGATGCAACCCGGAATTTTCCAGGAGAGTAGAGAATGATTTTGGATTGGCTCATGGACAAAGTGCTGGTTAGTAGACCATTCCCTTTAGTAAAGCTTTTTTCTGTACTAGGACAGTATTTTGCTACCCTGGACCTGGAGAGTCACAGTCCTGTTGCTTTTATAAACACCCTTAAATAAGTCACTCAGCAGTCTCCTCACCAAGCAAATTATTGATCACATTAACTTATTCAGACCATGGTTGTGTTGAAAATAGACACCATGACTGCCCAGAACTGGTGTTCCAGACCCTGTTTACTGTATTGGTCCATTTTGGAACTGACTGTGTAGCATTAAGACTTTTCTATATTGGTTAAGTCAGTGGGAAAGTCTGTTAAAATCTCTTTCTTAGCAGTTAATAAATTACAAGTTTCTCTTTTAGCAATTGTTATTGACACATTGCCATTTTTGCTCTCCAAAATATTTATTAAGATGCAGTAACTTTATAGAAATGTTGTGCTGACTAAAAAAACGTGCTTTGTCACCTTCAATGTCATCAGCAAAATTAAGCTTACCATTAAAAAACATTTCCAGTTATAAGAAAGCAAGCAACTGAAAAAATGTTAGCTTCAGAGGTCACTTCAACATTGTAATAACAAAACGAGCCGAGAGCAAAGAAAAACATTGGCTATAGTAACATCACAAATCCTTCTAGTTTGCCATTCATAATTCAGCTTCTTTCATGTGATGTCATACAACACAAAAGACTTAGATTTAATATTGGCATTAATTTAAAAGTATTACTCATTATATAATAATATACCGCATTATTATCAATATTTAGAGGGGAAATGCATAGATTCACCATTGAAGCAACTCATTTTCTGTGGGGATTATCAAATGCAGAAATGACGTTTTAATTCAGGCCACTGTGCAAAAATTGTGTATAGATAGGAGCATTTCCCACATTTAAGCTTGATACCTTTATGTAACTGATAACAGCAGCAGATGAAAATACCACTAGAGACCTTTGTTGCTATTGCATTCAGGTATTTTGAACAACTCAAGTAAATATGGAGAGCACTCCATCGTGATCAGCCAAGGACTTCAAAATGGATTTTGGCAATTTTTTCCATATTTGGAAAACAAAAAAGAGATAAATACAATAGACCTGCTTCTAATTTCATTTGGTTTGTCCAGCACATGAAAGTCGAGCTTGCCCGTGTGGCCTGGAAGACAGCAATCGATTTGGAGAAGGAGTATGTGCTTTGTGTCTTCCCTGCTTTTCTGCAGTTTTCTTTAATTAAAATAAAACAGATGGGCTAGTTCTGAGTCATCTCCCCAATGGACCGACTGCTCATTTCAAAGTCAGCAGCGTTCGCCTTCGGAAGGAAATGAAGGTAAGATCAGCAGATTCTGTTTGAGAATAAGGATTTGCTTCAGCTAAATCTTGCACCTCTAATACCAACAAGCAGAAACGGCTGGGTTTTGTACTTATTATTACAGTCATGATATGCTGTAGTGCTATACATTGACATTTTAGTTAATTTACCGATTGTATTACATAGTGCAACAAGACAAAAAGTTAGCTGTCCTTGTTGAAATTTAAAGTGAAAAGGCCGTAAAGAATGGTATCCATTAAGAGTTTTGACCTAATATATACTAAAAACTTCACGTCCCGTTTGGTATATTAGTTGGTAATACCAGACTAGTGGTTCTACCTCTTATTTGATACTTGCTGACTTTTTTTGGACAGTTTTCAAAGTTCAAAATGACATCACAGAAAACTCATTGTATACTGTATTATTGATCATTCCAAGGCCACTTGAAGTACAAATGGATTTTTCGTTGAAATGTAGCTCCGTGGAAAGCTTGAGGTTAAACACAATCAAAGATTACTATGCCATTAACATTCTGGTATTTACCAAAACAAAAAAAACAGCAAATTGTGAAATGTCATGGAATTCAGATTTTATGCTGCAAAGTGTTTTTTCTGGAGCAGAATACTCCCTGTGTGGTGAAGGGGAAGTAATCACAGTACCAAACTGGAATTACACTAATAAATTCCCTGCCACACCTTTCTGCATCCTGCTTTTAAAAAGTCTTTCAGAATAACCAGAGAGAAAAGTGCTTTACCCGTATGAACAGTTGTTGTGACATACAGAAGCCTGTAAAGCCAGAGACACACTAGTAGAAGAATTCTCTACATGTGTAGAGAGAATGAACGTTCTCTTAAATAAAAATTAAAGTAGCATGTTTTTCTTTTCATCATGTCTTGTAAATCGTTTAAAATCGTTTGGTGGTGGTGGAGGGGAGACCCCATTACCTGTAAAGCGCTTTGAGTGGAGTGTCCAGAAAAGCGCTATATAAGTGTAAGCAATTATTATTATTATTATTATTATTAAAAATGATTTAAATTATGCATATATGAATTAATCTTGCTATTCGTGCCTATACTTCAAATCACATAAAAGCTCTTTAAAAAGCACCATGAAATTTCAAGTTTTTGCTTGTAACTTTTATGTAGTCCATGTATTATGAGTTGTCCTATGTTAGGAGATATTTAGCCTCTCAGTTACTGCAAAATATTTCAAGATATTTCAACTATACACTGTAACACTGTAAATTTCTATTTAGATGATGCCTTCTTCCTACTGTGTATTTTTATTCTGTAATTATAAAGACGATGAGGACCTAGCTACAGTACTTGCCCTTTGGTAAAATGACAAGGCTGTGCATAATCAGTTACTAGACAATTTCGCAATGAAATAGTTTGATCCCTTGATCCCAATCTGACCTGTGCTCTGGCAATTTCAAAATAGTACAGCGAAATACAGATGAGATGCATAACCAATAACATTAAAGTCAGGACATCTTGAATGGGAGAGGTTTGTGTGTAGTTAAGTCATTGTTACAAATACAAGAAGGAATAATAAAAAAGACTAAACAGTTGGGTGAAATGCTTAACTTACTCCGTAAATATTTAAAGGTACTCCCTGTTCTGCTGTCTTCTTAAATTTTGTTAGGAAAACTGGACAGTGAAATTCAGATGGGTAATGTGTTTGTAGAGCTCAAGAAACATGGTTAAAAAAAAAATTCTGAATCCCAGATGCTTTGCAGGAGTTTCTGCCAGTTTCATCCTCATTTTTAGTGGTGGCTGGTCAAAAACAATGATGGTTTTTTTTGCGTGTCTTGCAGAGACGAGGCAAAGATCCTACACCGCACACCCCGGAGGTGATACTCAATAACTTCAGCACGCGGCTGGGACACAGCATAGGACGCATGTTTGCTGCCCTCTTCCCACATGACCCTCAGTTTGTTGGGCGGCAGGTGGCCACTTTCCACAACCAGAGAGACTTTATCTTCTTTAGATTTCACAGGTAAGCTGCTTCTTGCCATTCATTGTTTATACATTGTAGCAGGCTTAAGTGTAAATATTTAGTGTACAACAATTTGAAACTGCCGGTTTCTCGTCAGTTCATCTCTTCATCTGCAGTTGATGATGATGAGTGCCAACACCAGCCTGCCACGTCCCTTTATGATGTAACATGGCAAAAGTCCTGTACTTCCCTGAAGAGTTTGGTATAAGGAGTAGAAACTTGGCCATTCAACCAGTGCTCCACAGAGGCCCCAAGCCTCACTTCGTGTGCACTTTTAAAATCTATTGAGACAAATTGAGGCATTGTCCCTTTACTTAACGTCATTGTTAACTTTCCACGTTGGGCATCTCCATTTTGTTCCCTACCACCTGCGTGTGAGCAAAGCTACTTCCTAAATCTAGCTGTTTTTTTCTTGATGTTCTTCATATTGTGTGGCATCATAAAGATAAAAATTAAATACTCGGTTTCCAAGTTTAATTTAATTTACGAATATTGTTAGCTGTAGTAACGTACACTCATGTTGTATTGATTTTGTAGCTGTGTCAACATTGTGTATTTGTTGTGAAGTAGCTGAAGAAACAGTAATAAAAATACACGGTGACCGAAAGGTATGATTAATGTGAGCCCACAGTTAGAACCCAACAAAATAACCGTATGCAAAGTATGAATAGAATTTATGTTCAGTGTATCATGATTTTGGGCATTTTAGAGTGTGAATGAAATTTTAAGTTTAATTTTGTGGGCCCAGTCTTATCAGGATTGTGCTCAGCCATAGGAAGACTTGTTTTTCACCTGAAAAAATGGTTATTCAATTTACTTACGCACTGAAAGAGCAAAGTCCGGAATAAATTAGCTGGGATCCATGAAGCAGCTTTTGTTCAAGAATGAATAAAAGAATTTTTCAAGTAGATTAACGAGAGGATTGGCGCTGACCTTTCCACACAATGAACTACAAATCTCCAAGACACCAGCTGTGGCTGTTAACGTGACAGAGTATGCCACTTCAGGGATGTCTGTAAACCATCATTTTTGTGTTTTTGCTTTACAGAATATTTACACAAAACGCAAAATTTAGTCAGAGTCAGTTTGTTCTAGGAAAGAACCTAGAACAAAGTGCAGCAGTTACATTTAAAGAGTTGTCCAAGCTGGCATCCTATCTGTTCCATTCATGCATTTCTAGTGTTTGTACTTGTTATCCGGAAGAGCAATAATTTGCTTTTTGTCCACAGATACATCTTTAAGAATGAGAAGAGAGTGGGTATTCAGGAGCTGGGACCACGTTTCACCTTGAAACTCCGATCTCTTCAGAAGGGGACTTTTGACTCCAAATTTGGAGAGTATGAATGGGTTCACAAGGTGAGATTTCCTTCAGATCATCCTGTTGACTGCTCAAACATCTTGCAGCTTGAGAGTTTAAGAATACAGAGCCTCTGTACCATGTTTGAAACAAAATTTTATAAATCAGTTATTTAAAAAAAATCCATACTCACCAAAGACTTTAACTGAATCCAGATGCTTAGATTCTACTTGGATAATGTTTAAATTAAAATTTAATTTAAAATGACGATTTTCCTATAATTAGCAACTGATGGAAACGATTTTAATATGTTATTCTGGCGCTTATTTTTAGACCTTGCAATGCCTGCAGACAAATTCATTAAGGAATTTGACCACTCTGCAATAAGGCCTGTTTATCAGAGCTTTGACAAGAACAAAACTTCAGCTTCCTATGAAATACTGTAGCCACAGTGATTAAACAAAAACCTGAAATGTAACCCATTCCTTAAATCGCTGTGATTGTTTAAAGAAAAATCACTTTATTTTCCAGCGTCATGAAATGGACACCAGCAGAAGGAAATTCCACTTGTGAACAGGTCCCCACAAAATGGCATCCAGCTCTTCACCACTTGCCTTCTTAAGCAAATCCGGAAGCATGGCCATTACCAAGACAAACTCAAGGAACATTTCTTTTCTAATGTGCATCTCATACAAAACAAAAGAATGGTGAAGCATACTGTTACACATAAAATAAACATTAAATTTGTTTAGAAGAAGATTCTTGTTCCAAGCCTTTAATTAAAGAGAGCTCCTGGTAGCAGTTGCACAGTTGCAGGCAGTTCTGTCAGTGGGGATGTTACCCCAGTGTCCTGGCCAAATTTCCCCTGGCTTTTACAATTATGGCCACTCAGTAGTTCCCATCTATGATTTGGCTTCATCACTCTTCTCCTCCCCACCTATAGCTGATGGGTGGGGAGCATACTGGTGCACTTGACTGCTGTGGCATCATCCAGGTGGGGTGGCTACACTTTGGTGGTGGTGGTGGACGGGAGCCCCCACCTGGATGATGCAACAGCTGTTGTGAGCTTTCAGTGGCGTTTCCAGGAAAGCGCTACAAGTGAAACAATCATTACTGATAGTTCTAAAATAGAATAGACAAGTATGGGCATTGTTTTTTTTTATTTTGTGCTTTTCAAAGTAATTACAAAAAATCCAGTTGTAAATGTTAATTTTAAAAAGGCACAATATTAGAATTATCTAGTCATCCTGTACTAAACAACATATCTGAGCATTAGTTCCACAGCTTGAGTGGTTTATCAATTCATTCACAACACAGTGTATCTACAAGATGTGTTGTAATATAGGGCTTGTACTACAGGGCCACACTGGACTACTGTTTTCCACAGCTTTTTTCACCACGTGAACAATACACTCAAAGGTTGTCTCCATTATAGAAAAGAATTACCCTATACTGCAATAAAATAACATGGTTTGGCAAAAGAAAAAGGCATTACTTTAAAAGCATTTGAACAAATCTGCATATCAAACAAATCCCTGGAATAAACATTCTCTGTGAAAGTACTCCAGTCAGGCTGTCAATGTTGCTTCTTCACAGTGATAGGTTAAACCTGCAACATAAATTCATAGTTTTAGCATTTATTCTTAAGTACTAATCACTAGAACAACCTCACTAGTGCCCAGCAATTTGTAAAGCATTTCCAGATGATACTAATTCAATTTTACAGGTTCTATCAAATAGTCAATCGTAATGCACTGTATTTCAATTGAGCCAGTTGCTCAGACTTATGTCTGAAAGTGCTTTTCCCCCCTGGATATTAAATGAGCATTTCTTGTTCAGTAAATTGCCAGTTGCTGAAATTCCATATGTAAAAAAAAAACACAAAGAGTGCTTACCATTAAGTTAAAATGAGAGGGTTACAAAAATGAGCAGACTTTCTGTGTCCTGAACGGGTTGGTGCTGGAAGACACCCCTGTCAGTAAAGGGTCTTGGTGTGCATTCTGGATACAGAACTGCTGCAGGTCTGCGGCTGCTTGAGATACCTGCAGGAGAAAGGAAGCGTTGCTCAATAGGGCATTCACAGCTAATTTCATTGCTCTGTTTAACGAATATGTAACAATATATGAACAACTATATGAATAAGTAACATGGACAGCATGGTGCGCAGTGGTTAACATTGCTGCCTCACAATGCTAGGGCCCCACGTTTAATTCTGCACTTTGGGTTCTATTTGCATGGAGTTTGCACGGGTTTCCTGGGTTAACTGGCTTCTGGGAAAACTGGCCCTTGCACTAGTGTCTGTGTGCCCTGCGATGGGTTGGCGTCCCATCCAGTGTGTACCCTGCCTTACGCCCATTGCTTGCTGGGATAGGCTCCAGGTCCCCTGGGACCCTGTACTGGGGGAAGCCATTAGAAAATGGATGGGTAATAGATCTCTATATTTACAGTTCTTTTCAGATGAGCACAAAATACCACACGCGGTTCTGTACTATATCTCCCGAGTTTAAGCGCAGCCGGCGGTTACGTTATCTTTATTTTTTTTTTGTTATATTAGGTCTGCAGTACAAGCATAGCTTTTCTAAGACCTTTGACGTTTTTCCATGCAACGTTTTAAATGTCTCTCTAAAAATACGTTAAAAAGCCTGACTTCGAACTTTTAAGCGAAACTACCGCAAAGCGTTTCAAAGCCAGTTGCTTCATAATTTAGTATCGAAACCTGGAAATAATACCAATTTACATCAAAAGCTCTTCATTTCACGACCATTAAAAATAGTCAAGTTCTAGTTTGGTTTTCAAGTTACAATCTCACCCCAAAAAAAAACAGCTAGCTAAATACAAATCGTGTCTAGTAATGTTTTGAATTGATGAAGTCAGTCGGACGTGGTGAATTTGAGCAAATTACAGGGTGCAATCTGACTTGTGAAGCGCTGTTGTTTTCCAGTTGTGAAAATTACACCCATGACTACAGAAATAACCAAAATCTCGCAGAATATATTTACCAAAATATCGCTGGCGGCTCTCTTCTGAACTTTTATCACTGACGAGCTTACGATGGACTTAACGTTTGTAGTTTGACAAACAAGCCTTACAATGTTACAATACCGATACATCTTTTTTTTTAAATTACAAAGCCCAGCACTTCGAGGTGAGCGATTTTAACAAGGGTGAAAAACACCCCAATTGTCCATTTCCAACCCCGACCTTAAATCATAGCATGAAAAAACACGAAATCCTGTCAAGAAAATTTCTGAGTTCCTGTTTACAGTGCAAAAAACATTTTTATAGCCGACATTTTGAAATAATAAATATCTTCTGAACAGTTAAGAGTAGTACAGATAAACGTGCCGGCGACTTGCAGCTTCCATTACCGTGTAATAAAATTCATGTTCAATTTTCTAGCAATAAATAACGCTTCAGCGCCTTTTCCCAAACGCAACGTCGTTAGAAGCACCAAAAGTGTCGGATTGCAAAATTGTGAACTTTTTATTGGTTTTCACAAAGGGTTATGGCAGATGTTAGCCTGGCAGCTCTCCACGCCCTGTAAAACAGACGTCCACAACTGTTCCTCTTTAAGTAACTTCGGGTACCTTAACTCTGTTGATACTCGCTTCGAAACGCAACTGCTGGACAACCTTCTTCATGGAGGTGATGTTGGCCGAGCTAGACATCTTGAATTCTGGAAAATTCAGTTCAAGCTTAAAGACAAAAGATACAAAAACGACTGCTTTCTCCCCTTGTTCCTCGGTTTACCCACGTTTCCGGTTTTCAGCGAAAATAGTGTTTGGTCCTTTGCGTCACCTACAGGAGAAAATGCGAACTACAGGGAGTGTTTCCCATGACGTAATCTCAACCGCTCGCTTTCGTGCTCATCCGGGACCCTGGGCGCCCTGGTTCCTCTGATAATTTCATTGAACCCCAGATTTATCCATTTAGTAATTTTACTAAATTACCAATTAAGCAATTCGACCTTCTCGGTTCTGCACCTGTCGGAGAGTTTTGGTTCTAAATTTGTCTATTTGAAATTGGAACGTTTTAGTCGCAAAAAAGGGATTGACAATGCAATTATTGGTTCAATTAAGGACTGTTTTAAGCGACTCAAAGTCGGGCTGGAATCAAAATTTGCACTCCGATTATTAGAACTGGGACATCCTAGTGTAATTGCATTTGTAATTGCAATTTGGTGGTGTATTGCATTCAGATTAATTACGCGGCGCCTATTCTACAACACAAATCCAGCGTTTATTATAATGCTCTGCTTAGACATATTGATAAATAATATATGTTGTAATGTAAAGCGTCTGCGTTTTGCATCATATACCCAATTAGTTTGCAACCGTTAGAGTTTTAAAAAGGTGAAAGGAGACAAGTCTTCAAACTGCTTAAATAAGGAGCAAGGCATTTCTCGCTATAAAGGGATTATACATGAGAATTTTATTTGCACCAGCAAATGAATAAACAGACTAAATTTTAACACTGCAATAGTTTAAAATATTTCGTGTGCTCGGTCTGCATTAATATCCTTTAAAGTATATTTATGCTTAAATAACCCCAACGACCAAATAATTTCCGTTTATTGCGAGACGTTGATCCGAACGTGTATTATACTGTATATTCACCAGCTACACATAAAACGGTTTCCTTCCTGTAAAGTACCCAAAGTCTTTGATCTTGGCCAGGTAGTTTCCGCAACTTACAGACAATACAAATGTACGTTTCCTGCTGGTGTTTTTTATACACCAAAAGGGAAAATGAATCTGAACTCAGTATTGACTTTTTCGGGATGCCCCCAATTAATACGACGTGCTCCCAATTTGTCCACCTCAGAGAACAAACTATATTAGTAATTGTATACAATAGTATGAATATTATCACTGTCTCAGGCCTCTTTCTGCACCCCGCCTTGTCCTCTCCGATCATCCTCGCAGCGCCCGAAATGGCTAAACTACTCCACATCCTTCAGTAAATCTTACACATCTTAAACTAATGTTTTTAATTCTCAAACTGAGAATTAAACATTTTTTTCCCTTTTAACTATGAACGTGGAATACTGTATATGGAGGTATAGATTGCCATTCTGTGTCAGCAGTTGTATCCTGTTTTAGTTGTAATATTCTATTGCATCTCCTCAGTTTTTGCTAGCTTGTCATTTTTTAACCTTGCTGTACCTGCGCCGCCGTAATCTGCTTCCTTACACAAAAAATATAGCGCATTCGTCCTGTGTAAAGGCGGAGCTAAATCAATCAATAAATAAACCCAATGCGAGGGACACATAATTCATATATAATTATCAGATTGTGACTAAAACACGTTAGTCGCTGTGCGAAGAAAATTATCAATGTGTACTAAAATAAGGGCTGTTTATACTGTTTTTATACTGGAAAAAAAATCATTACTTTTACATTAAAAACAATCTGGAAGTTATCGTTTTAAAACTATAGGCTGTATTCAATGCAAACTACAGACCGCCACCCTGGTGTGGGGCTCGCACATAATTCAACACAGAAGAACAATGAAGATCTGCTAAAAGGTTAGCAGGCTAGTTAATATTTGATCACTGAAAGGCTGTTACTTGGCAGTTGACTTAGTATGGCTCCACTCCTTTCTGAAAACGCGTCAAGAATCAGCCACAATGAGGCTGAGCTACTCCAGAGCAGGCTTTCCTGCGAATGGATAACCATACACACACCACCATTTATTTTTAATCGAAAGTTTAAATAAAGAATTATCCAATTCATCATTTCGTCTGAGGTGCCACATGAGCAAACCGAATGAGGAAAGACCACCAACTGCTCCGGTACGTAATCCAGATGAGACCACATTATTATTAAAATATGTATTTTAAAAACGACATGATTACATGCAGGTAATTATTTCAGACCTCAGTTCACTTATTAAAAAAATTAATGTGAGCAGTGTTTGACATAGCATTAGCTTTTGCTTTAGTGACTAGAATACCAGTCATGTAAATGTACGTCGGCTTAAAGAGGATTGATTGTTTTGTCGCATATACCGATTCATTAGACACACCGTTATTAGACATTGAAGTGGAAGCTGTAAGCTGTGTGATTTGGAATGGCTGTGCAGGCACGTCTATTTCAATTTAATAAATCGCCCTTGTGTAGGAAGACACATTCCAACACTGAGTGATCAGTTAATTCTTGCATTAAAATCTTTCTTTGCCTTGTTTTTTCTAATTGGTTGACCTGTTGATAATTTAGTTGGTGGAGCTCCACGTGCTATATGTCCCAGAAGAACAGTGGAATTCGAAGCTCAACAGAGCCTCCACTGAAGCCATCGATAGCTTTGTGTCAGCCGGGTTCATCAGGCAAGTACTGGACAGTTTCAGGCAGGGCCTGGGGAACCACACACCTGCTGGTTACAGTCACAGCTGGACCTGCAGTTACAGAATCAAACCCTTAACTGGTCTCCTAATAACATTAACTTGTTCTCTTTATTTTTAGCTCCTAAGACATGTTGCCTTTTGACTGTTGCATTTCATAAATTGCTAAAAGTCAGAATAAAGTTTCCATCAATTAACTTTATGGAGCCGATCAGCCTTCTTTTAAGGGATTTTAGTGTAATAGTGGTGATATAGTGTTGGGTTTATAACAGTTGCTTAGTAATGCAATCCTAAACAATGTAAAAAACGAAAGGTAAACACTGATACATCAGACCTGTAAAAACCCTGACTCAAATCTCTGCAATGTCATTAAGTAAATAATAAGGTGCAAAATAACTTACAGCATGTTAGTACCATTTCCAAAAAGATCCCAGCTTGCACAAATACTGTAGGACACCATCGTGTGCTATGTTTATGTATGGAGAGCTCTGTATCATTTTACTGGAAGTACATTACATTATCTTATCTTGGCTGGTTTGATATAGCATTAAATAGTTTACTTGGTTACTATACACAACACTGTTGTTTTCTTCTGGAAGGGTTCATCCTGATCTGAATTTACAAGTCCTACGAGATGGACTCTGCAGGTTTCTGGGGGCGGACAAAGAGATTGAAACTTTTTCCTTTCTAAAATGTGTGGGTAGAAGTTTGGCCTTGGTGAGTATGAAGAGTGTACAGCACTAGTGCTGCTGTGTAGATCTAATTTACTTCAATCACTAGTTACAGTAACAATCACGTTTACAATTTTCTCTATGATATTTTTATTTATTGAAACGTAACATACAGAGATCGCAGTTGCACATTCAGTTTTACATACAGTACACATCATGGTACCTGGGAGGTATGGCAGTATGTATCACAGCTTCTGTCCTGGGGCTGATTCTGACCTGCTGCACATTCTGTGAGGAGTTTGCATGTTCTTCACAGTGTTAATATGGTTCATTACTGGGTGTTCTCCTGCACTACAGTGCCATGCTGCCTGTGTTAACTGGAGTCTTCAAATTGTCCCCCTGTAGTCCTGGGGGCCATTCCTGGGTGTATCCATTGTGTGTTAGATTAGGCTTTGGCTTCCCACAGACCTAAATTAGAATTAACAGTTACTGAAATTGGGTACATGTATAAATTGTCCCTATTTATACAACTGGATGTTTTGGATCAATCTGGGTAAAGTACCTTGTTTAAGAGTACTTCACTAGCTTATTCCTGCAAATGGTTGAAATCGTAGAGGACTCATATAGAACACTTGTTTTTTATGGGATGTAAACAGATGTGTTATAATGTACATAAATATTGTGAACTCTTAAAAGGTTCATGAATAATGCTAGCTTGTCAGCAGCCAATTTAAGGTTGCCCTTGTCTCAAAATGGAAAATGACAAAGACAACACATTCATTTAAATTCTTTTGTTGGTCATGGGAAATAAATCATAAAGCTATAATGCTTCCTAGTTGGTTTTGGCTGACAGGCAATACTAATTCTAATAGTTTTCATTATTTTAACTACCAGGAAGTGCCGTCCTTAAGAGAATGAAATACCCAGATGTGCTCCTCCTCATTATAGGATGCAGTAAATCAAAAAACCCATGTCTACATTATTTATTGTTTATTCAATGTTCCCTAAAAACAAAATACATATACCTGTATAATGGTCAAATAAAACTCTATTACAAGATTTTCGGTTGAGCAAAGTTTCATAGGATTTTGTTTCTTCAACTGTAAACATGTCCATACCCTGAAAGCAGTAGCTTGGACAAGTTAGGGCATGTATATGGCTGCCATCAGAGATATGAGATTGACAAATTATACTGCGGATCGTTTGCCAGTGCGGCTGGGTAGAAAGACATTTGTGTGGTGATGTCACTCATTATGTATTTCAAACTCTGAAGCACTGGCAAAGGTTCTGGTGGACACTGTGTGCCCAGTTGTTAGTGCAAGAGGGAAACGGCATACACTACTCTAACGTTTACTGTAATGCATACATTAATTCTGTCTGAGAACTTTTCCAGAAAACAAAGTGATATGAATCCCAAGGTGCGAGAGAGGGAGGTTTGATATTGTACTGCTAAACTGTAGTCTTTCTTAAGACCAGACCTTTCTAAATACATTACATGAAAGCATTTATGTATTTATATATATATCCATCCATTTTCTATCCACTTTATCCAGTACAGAGTCTCAGAGGAGGTGGAGTCTATCCTGGCAAGCAATGAGCACAAGACAGGGTCACCCTGGACAGGACACCAGTCCATCACAAGGCACATACTGTACAGGCTCACAGCAGTACCACTTTTCCTAGAAACCAATTAACCTACCAGTTACTGCAGGAGGGAACCCATTCAAATGCAGGGAGAACATACAAACTCCACACAGATAGCCCTCCAGGACCAGGATTGAACCCAGAGCCCCAGAGTTGCAAGGCAGTAATACTAACCTCTGGATCACCACACCACCCCTGTTCATACATGTATTAATATTCTTATTTTAGCCACTGCATATTGATATTGATACTGCATCTGATATTTTTCTTGAATTCTAAAGGTTAACATTAACCCCTAAGTTTTTTTTTTGTCCTTGGGGGTCTAGATGATTAAGATCATAGTAGAAGTTTTTTTCTTAAGTGAGACATTAAAAAAAAAAACTATGAGGAACAAGCGAATGAGCAGCCAGCAGAGCCTGCAGATGACTGCAAGCTGGACCTCATGTAATGTCCTGAACTTTCTTTCTAGTTGTACGAAAGTGGCAAAGATAGGCCTGGGTTTCAATTGTTACTTGCAGTAAACCTAAACCAAGTGGCTGTAAATTAGTGAAGGGGCTTAATCTATCGGCTTGTCCTGGTAGGCTGTGGAGAGACGCAGGGAGCTGGTCTTTCTCTAGCTTGAATTGAACCTGAATTAAAGAAGTGAAATAGCTAATTGTTTGTGGGCATGCTGGTTTTGCAGTGCTCTGATGCATATGAATTTGTTTTTGCCAGATCTACATCTTTCTCCTGACTACTCAGCACCTCATCATCTGCTCTTCATTGTCTTTTTCAGGTAAAAGCTAATCAGGAAAAAGAGCTGAAAGTGAAGTTCTTTGCACCACCACACGTGCGTACTTTCCATTTTAAAGTTCACCTTTTAGACAAAAATAATAATATCCTTCTTTTCTGAAATACTCAGGTTTAGATTAGATGATTCATGAGTCTTAAATCTCTGTGCTGAATTAATATCAAAGCTTTCTTCAGGAGCCGATTGCTCAGTGATGGTTTTCTGTGCTTGTGTGTACCAGATGCAATCAAATCAAACAAAAAATAATTCAGTGCATGTCTTTGACTTATCCTCAAAATACTAAATCATGTTAGTATCTGCCTAGACTGTATTTTCTCACTGAATTTCCTCTGCTGAGCACCATTTGGACTTTTTTACCCAAAGGAGTGCTGTTAGATAGCAGTGCCCTGCTACACCTTTCCTTTACTGCATGCTACATCACTGGCACAAAAGCATATAGACATATAGCATATAGCATATAGCCTTGTATTTGAATGGGCGTGCAATATTCCATTAGCTTTTGCAATATTATGATAGCATTAAAAACATGTAAGAAAACTACTTAGGAGAGTTTTGGTGGGTTTGACATAATTTACATGTTTAGAAATTTAATGTTCTAAACAATGAGTTTGGATGTATAATTATTATTACTGTACTATACAATTTTGAATGTAACAACCCTAGATATATACTGTATTCTGACCTTCTAGCTATATTTTTTAACATTGTTTGCCTCACCTCCAGATGATGCTGTTTTTCCGTCTTTATGTTTCTCCCAAAGTCCTGTGCAGGTCTAACAAGCCATGTAATGGTCTGTAAGCTGTACATTGCTTTCTTGCTCCATTTTCGAACTCCTTTATCCAGTACAGGGCTCAAGGCGAGAATCACTCACATGACAGGGTGCCAGTCAGCCGAAGGGCACCGGCACAGACACAAACACACGAGCTCTCAGGCCAGGGCCATATTTTCCAGAAGTGATGGGACCCCCCAGCATGTCTTTAGACTGTGGGAGGAAACCCATGAAAACACATGGACAGCATTTAAACTCCATGCAGATATCACCCCTGGAAGAGGAATTGAGCCCAGGGGTCTGAGCCAGCCATGCTAACCACTGTGCCACTGTGCTGCCCAATTGCCTCTATTTGACACTTAAGAAAAGCTACAGTAAAGAGCCACATTTACTTACTGCTCCAAAACTCCACTCTGACCAATCAGAAAATGTGTCTCCTAGATTATCTCAGAGCTTGCTTGCATCCTTATCTGGGCACAACTGTTTCTAAATAACTATGTACAACCGAGTACAGAATTGAATTACAAATCTATAAAACTGGATTACCTACTGGGCCTAGATCTTGAGAGAATCCCTGACTATAAGGATCGATCGAAATCACTGTATGAACTATGTGGAGGACAGTGGAAGTCAGGAACAGGAAGATGGGAAGGCTCAATGTGTAACTAAGCAGGTCTATGTTCCGGAGAAGAGAACATTACCAGTAAATGCAGGTTGACCGCAGGTAAAACTAAAAAATTGAGTAGGCTGAGACGTGTTCCCATTTAGGTCTTTGAAAGTATATGTTTTTGATTATGAGATTTTATCTGAGAAGTGAAAAGTGACTATAAAAAAATTGGAATATGAAAGACAAAGAAATCAGTGTAACAATGAAACAAATCTTTCAACTTTTTTGTCTTTTTGATAGGCTCCAGAGCCAGAATTGTACTTGTTGCCAAGAGTGGGAAATGACAGAAACAGTTGCTCTGTTTCGCTCACACCTGATAGGCAGAACTATCCCATCAACCCTCAGATTTATAGTTCTCCTCTGAAGGTCAGCAGTGTGCCTCCTGTGAAAAAAGAGAGCACTAAATTCCCTAGGATTAAACCCAGGGCTCCCTGTAACCCCCCTGCTCAGAGCCAGGGCGACGAGGGAAATTCCAGCTCGGAGGAGGAGAAATTAGAAGAACTCAGCCCAGTGCAGGAGCCCAGATGGACTGACACAGCCAGTCTTCAAAGGACAGGAACTCGGCAGCAGCCGGAGCCAAACAGAAAAAAAGCAGGTAAAAGGGTGGTAATGAGACAAAGCCAGCACTGTTGTGGCCTCTGAACCGAAAGGGCACTGGAGCAAGATGGGATTTCTGTTCACACATCTGAGGAGAACACCTCTTGAAGCCTCACATCAGTTCATCACACAAATGTTAAACTAAGGTCCTAATGCTTGGTTGTTAAAGAGCACATGGCACTATTTTTAAAGAGTAGGAAAGTCAACCGTGGTGTTCTGCCAAATTCCACTCCAGGCTCTCACAATCTCACTATCTGAAGTTCTCCTTCCATACATCTAGAGAAGCATGGGTGCCACCTGCAGAGCGAGGTGAGTCCTGCTCCCTAGTAGGGGTTATACTGGGCTGGTCACATGATGGTGACGAAGATGATTATTACCATTGCACAAATAAATCAACCCTGATTTTTGTGTAAATAGTCTGTACTTTGTTGGAATTTAACTTGGAGTGCATGTTCTTAGTTTGCAATTTCAGAAGGCATGGTTTTCTAACAAGACTTGAAAGGAGTTCTGAACATTTATTCTCGAACAGGTGAGCAGTCAGAGCTGTTTCTGAGGGCAACTAATGAATTTGTTCCACGGTGTCTTATAATGCAGAACTGGCCCTGCGCGCCGGTACCCAGGGCAGAAATAAGAAGACGTCGGTGAAGAAGAGCCTGCATGGGCTCAGAAACAGCACCAGAGACTCTGGTGTTCCCGAGTCACTAGAGGACAGAGATTCTGAATACCTGCACTATCAGGGCAGGTAAAGCATGTTAAATCATTGAAAAAGAAAGTTATTTTACAGTGAATTTTTTTCCGTATACTATATTTTCATACTTCCTCTGGTTGGCTTGGCTTGTTTGGATGTTCTGATTTAGGCATGACTTGTGTCGGTCTGTGGACTGTGGGAGGAATCAGGAGCATTTGGAGAAAGCTCATGCAAACACTGGGAGACATACAAACATTGCTCAGACAGCATCCCAGGTCCAGAATTGAACCCTGGACCCCAAGGCAGCAATGCTAATTATTGTTAATAATAATGAAATATTCTCTAATAGTTCTTTTTTCTGTTATAAAGGTTTTCAAAAGTATGTTTTGTTTATTTAAGCTGCAGTTCAAATATGAACAGTACTCCAACATGAGTTAAGAGGTAACTCACACATCATTCCCAGATGTGAAAAGAAGACACATTGAGCTGCCCTTTGTCTTTTATTATTTTACAAGGTTGTAAATGGATGCAATGACTCCCAGTATAGAAATTCCCTGTGCTGGAATGTACAACACAATGCACTCCCACAGAGTACAACCTTTGTACACAGTGGTAATTTTATAAATAAAAAAATAAATAAATAAATAAATATTGCTCTGACTCACACATGCAAACAAAGTTAAGAATATTTATGTCCTTTGATCAGGATTCATAATGGACATTTAATTGCTTCCTGATAGAGAATTCTTGTGTATTTATGTTTTTTGATGATGGATCAAAACTTCAGAAGATTCATCATTTCATAATGCATTTCATAAGTGAAGGTGGTGCTATGGTTCAAATGATTGTAATAATATACACATTCTCTTAGGAAAACCGAAGACTCTGTGCCACTGAAAGATCACAACAAGAAGGAAACTAAGGAGGTAAATCTGCAAAATACAGGGAGCTTTCAAATCAGAAAATGTGGAATTGTGGTTGTAGAAAAACATTATCCAGTGGTTTCATAAACCATAATTATCACTAATCCTTTGTTATCTAATATTTTCAAAAAGTAAGTCTAATTAATTAAATTGTAAGGAAGTCTGGAACTATTGTTAATTGGGCTTTCCTAAGTTATGCCAATATATATATTGCAGTTGATGTGCTTACTAAATGTACAGATTAAACATCTGGAAAATTAGTCAAAGCAAATCGTATGCCCATCGGAGAGCTCTGCGTCTGTGCAGATAAAGATCCTTGTTACAGTATGTACTGACTTTCTGTCCAGGTCTATGAGAATCCTTTGCCCTTGCCCACCCCAGCACAGTACTCCTCTCCTCCTGCGGCCCCTTTTCTGGCCCAGACTGCACAACAACCTGCTCCTCCGGTCTTTTTAACCGACAGTAAGTCTGAAACATTCAGCTTCAGTCATTTAGATCTTGATTTCATGTTGAAACATTTAGAATAAATGTGTAACTGTTACATTAGCATTTCATTAACCTTCCTCAGGCTGCTTTTTTTTTTACCTGTGATTCTTGATGTTCTGCAAAACCCTACTTTAGCGCCGAAAGATGTAGGATCAACAGCAGCTAGAAAAAACATTTTTGCTTAGAGGATGTGCATAAAAAATCGTAGGATTTTATCGTCATTTTCTGCTAGCTGGAGTCATGAATTTGCATTGCAGCTTTAAGGTGCAAAATGTCTTCAATCACTCTTCACTAACCCTTCTCATTAACCCTTCCCTGCACTTGATGATGATCCTGCAAGGAGATGAGCTCATTGAGGAAATCAAGTTGGCGAAGCAGGAGCGGAAACAGCTTGAGAAGACCAGACAAAACCTGCTAAGAAAGGCTAAAGAGCTCCTGGGACGCTATCGCCACAGGAGAAATCAAGGTGAGACAGCCCTATCGATTGTGTCACAGCTGCGTTACAGCATTTAAAAGTCTAAGTGTGTTGGGGGAATTTAAACTGCTGAGTGTAACAACTACTTTGTTTTTTGTTGTAATTCTGGGGAAACCTAACTAGAAAATACTTTTCAGTCTTTACTAAATGACTGTTGTCAATGTCACAGCTGTGCTAATGGTTTAACATACTATTTACTAACATCATTTTTTAACTAGATCTTTCCAACTTGCATCTTTCTAAAGATGGACATTAAAAAAACATACCAATCATGACATGTGCAAAAACCTTAGTCTGGGCCTTTAGTGTTCGTAAGCTACAGTGTTTCAAATCAATAATCAGAATCTTTATTATCTTGAAATGTTCTTGAAATCAGATAAAGATAAACTCATTTTTTTTATCTTGATAATTCCATTGCTCTTTTATTCAGTTCCATGCATTTGTTTTAAATCCTCTCAAGCCTGAGAAACTCCTAAAGTGTCATTTTCAATACGTTTATAATAATAATAATAATAATTGCTTACACTTATATAGCGCTTTTCTGGACACTCCACTCAAAGCGCTTTACAGGTAATGGGGACTCTCCACCACCACCAATGGTAGTTTATCACTACAAAATCTATGACAAAAGATTTTTCCTGTGAGCTGAACTTGTTTGATGTTGTACTGGCTCCTGCCACACGTTTCCTGACTATAATAGGTTTGTAAAGCTACAAATTAGATAATAAAATAAGGTTTGAACATTTCGCCTACTCATATCGTATACCTTAAAATGAAAATGAAATCTACATCTGCAGCCTGTCCAAACATTAGAGAAAGTGTGTTATTGTCACCATAGCTCGCGACACCTGGAAGAAGAAATATTTTGAGACCAAAAAGACAACTGTTCCACTGGAGGATGGTCTGAAAAACCTGCGACAGGAGCTGGAGAAGTATTACCACAAGCTGCAGCAGCAGCTGCAGGCCAGGGATACAAGAAGCAAACCTCAGTCCTATGGGCATCCTTCAAACAGCAAGGTGAATAAATCCCCTAACACACATCCTGTCTCTGGAGCCAGGATCCCTGAGTCTGGGGAACAGAGGGGATGTGCCTATGTCCCTTGATAGGTAACACCACCAGTAAAAATGGTCAATTTCAGCATGAGAGTGTGTAATATTTAACGATGACTGAACAAACCTATAGATTATAAGAGCTGGTGGAATACTCTGGAGGGCTCCACCAACAGAATCCCAACTCGCTCACCTAAAATTAAGAATGGCTTTTAGAAATAGATGCTCATGCTACAAATTGGATTAAAAAAAAACAGTTGATCTTATACCATGTAAAACATGATCTCCAGGAGGCAGGAGGTGTTGAGAGACAGTGCGACTCAGGTGACTGTGGAAGACATCCGAATGTGTTGTTCCTGAGCTGTGAAACGAGACGATGTCATGTTACAGGCGTGGTTGTTTGTTCCGGGCTGGTGACAACAGGAGACCTAGTTAGGAAATGAGACGTGTGCAATGAAAACTGGAAAAAATTAGACAGGATCTGTCCACCAGGGGGAGCAAAAGACTAACAATTCGATATGTAGGGGATGATGTTGGTAGTAATGTTATATACTGTATTGCTGTAGTACTTAGAATTGTACTTATCATTAAACTACTGTAGATGTATGTACACTATCTATAGTTTATTTAAAAACAAAACGATTGTCATTTACCATTGTTTCATATATTTTTTAATGTACCCTAAAATACATGATGTTTAAATCCACTTTAATTTATACACTTAAAAAAACTTCTGCATTTCCAGAATGACCTCATTATTCAAATGATAGCAGAGACCCATGAAATAGATCAACTAAGAAAGAAAGTGGAGGATGCTAAAATGAAACTTGTGACAGAAATCAAGGTAAAGACAACTTTTAGTGTTTTCTACCATGCAGTGTTTTATTATTGTTGAAAAGGGGGATTGTTTAGATATAATGCACCACATAAACAGCATCCTGATTCAGCTACCTTATGCTTGCTAATCTTGCTTAATGAAAGCTAATCTTACTTAATGAAATAAGCAGCATTAGCGTTTACATGCCAGTACTGAGATCCTCCCTTATTTTGTGATCATTTTGTTAAAGTTTATCTGAATTTTTCAAGCAAAATCTGTGATGGTTGTTTTTTTTTCCTAATACCAATGTAGGCACATGAGAACTTTATTCTCGCATTGAGTACAGGTGACACCACTTTCATTCATGCATTTACAGCTGAATTATAAGATCTGTGTGTCCGTTCTTGAGAAGGTTTTTTTGAGGAAACATCAGAGAGTTTCAATACAAGGTGCATCTTTGACTCAAAAACTTGGCCACAGGAGAGCAAGGAAAGAGACATGTTTATTGGATTCAGCTTTACAGTACAATGACTGTTAAATTAGCTGAGATAAAGCTTGCAAAATCCGAGATGGAGAAAAGTGGTCCACAAATAATCTTTTTATTGTTAGAAAACAATCCTGGGAAGCTTTAACATGAACTGGACCTCCAGGCTTCCTGAGAGGCCGGTTCAGCTCATCCTTCTGATTGACTTTGCTGGGCACCCTGATTTGTTGGGAGCCAACAAATCTCCCGCCAGTCATCATGATATCCTTCAGCAATGCACTGCTCTCGTTTGTGGACTGGTGAAGGGGTGTATTTAAAAAATAACCCGGTTTTCTCTGCTCCCTCTGCAGCTCAGGAAGCAGATAGCCACAGAGGTGCGAGCTCTCAGAGCAGAGCTTGCACAGAAAAGAGCCCAGCTGTCTCTGTCCTGTCCACAGGGAGGCTCTGCTGCACACCGATTTGGATACCAGGCCAGGCTGCAGGTCCGGCACATACCAGTGTGAACACATGAAAGGTTACAAATAAGAAGAGACCATTCAACCTAATCGACGGTCAGTAGGTAATGGATCCAGGGATCTCATCCAACCATTTCATGAAAGAAACCATGGGCTTCAGCAATGAGGTTGTGTAGTTTGTTCTGACCCCCACAACCGTTTGGGTGCCTCCTGTTCTGGGTTATACATTACCACATCATATATACTCACATAGTTTCTACTTGTGCCTTCCGGTGCCAATTCTACACATTCACTGGGCTGACTTTGTTGGTACCTTTGATGATTTTGAGTACTTGAGTACTTCTCTCTGTTCAACACTAAGGGGATGAGCTCCACAGGCCCCAAGCTCATGTTCAACCCTATATATATGGGTATACAACTACTATATATATGTTCTTCTTAAAGGTCTCGTTATTCCCTATTCTTAAGAAGAATTTTGAACAAAGTCTCGCCTTTTGAACAAAGGCACAGAGTTTGGATGTTACTGATTATGAAGCGCATTATTTCACAAAAATATATAATCGTTACAGCAAAAATATGATGAAAGGCTCTTGTTCATACAGGAAGAAAAACCTAAATCTACTTTCCACAGTTCTGTTCAGAAATCAACCTGGTTTTTCGTTCCACTTCACTTACGTGGAAATGTACATCTTGCTTATGGATTTGTTCAGTCAAATTTAGTCAAAAAATATCTGTTGTTGTGTTGTTATATGATGAAGCCTAACGATAATACTAATATAGTGGATTTTAAAAATATTTCATTATGTAATTTTACTTTTGGACTGGTATGTTAACATTAATATCAGTAAGGGGAAAATCAAAACTATCTTTACCTTAAACTATCAGGATGACTTTCCCTTGTTTACTAAGTTTGATTTGCCCATCATTTATTTTGCCTGTCCACACAATTTGGAAAAGAATGCTCTAGATTCTACAGTATACAGTATGTCTACCAAATATCCAGGTGGATGCTGCACATTGGTGGTGGTGGAGGGGAGTCTCCATTACCTGTGAAGCACTTTGAGTGGAGTGTCCAGAAAAGCGCTATATAAGTGTTAAAAAGTCCTATTATTATTAATACAAACTTCATGACCACCCAGAAGGCAAAATGAGGAAGTGTAGGCAAACTCCTCTGACCGTGAAGCAACTCATGTAAAATTTTAAGCAACCGTTTGTGTGTTTGTTATGTTTGTAAAGTACAGATTTATTCAGCTGTTGTGCGGTGTCACTGTAACTACTACCGAAACCCCAAACCTAAAAACAGACATTTCTCTGGTCTAGAGTGTGAAAATACAACACTTTTGAAACCGCTCAGCTGACTTTGGCACTTCCACAATTTCAAGGATTTTTTTAAAGCACTTTATATGATGTTGAAACTTTAGAAAAACACCTAAAGATTGAGCAAAACAGTACAACTTTCATTTCATTTTTTTCATTTTAATGTTGAGAAGATGTAAATACAGAATCATGTAAAATTTACAAACCATATTCATACCAGTATTATACACCTTTTAGGCTTAGGAAAATATTAAATTCTCTTTCAAGGAAAATTTTAAAAATGTCAAAGAATGTGTGAATCAATTCTTCCGCTCAAAAGCAAAAACAATCATGCTCCAGGGAGTTCTTTCATTTTTATCCTTTTACGGTTGTTGCAAATTAAGCAATTAATTTAGTGCTCCAGAACATATCTCCTGTTTTCCAGGCAAGCCACTGCTTCAGTCCGCAGAGGCCGTGCTCCTGAGTCTCTGAGCTGCTGGTTTAAGAGCGCTCCACATGGCCCTGGTCTGTTGCCGGGCGACAGGGTTGCTCCCATAATCCAGCAGATTACCATTCCACATGCCGATACCCCGCAGGCCTCTTTCCCTGACGTAGGCCGCCTTCTGAGAAATGCTCTCTGGGTCATCGTACCACACCTGATGGATCTGTCCTTGATCATCCTGGTACATAAATTCAAAAAAAAAAATGGAATGATCAGCTGGCATGGTGTCACAGAGGTTAGCAGCGCTAGGGCCCTGGGTTAAATTCCTGAGGTGCTGTCTGGGTGGAGTTTACATGTTCTCCTCATGTTTGCGTGGGCTGCCTCCGGGTGCTCCGGTTTCCTCCCACAGTCCAAACACTGATACTGATAGGTTAACTCGCTTCTGATAAAATTAGACCTGGTATGAGTGTGAGTCAGAGTACCCTGCCTTGTGCCCGCTGGTTGCTGGGATACGCTTCAGCTCCCCAGCAACCCTGAAATGGAAGAAGCAGTTTGAAAATGGATGGATGGATGGATGGATTGATACATGATTAGCTGGACTTGTGCACACAGTACACAAGACATTTATTTTTTGGGAAAAAGTAAAAAAGCATAATGTTACACTGAACTTCCTTGCCTTCAATCAGCTAATCCCCTTCCAGTTCTGTGTCTTACTGTTGTGGCAGTTTGGTGTGAATCTATTAGCTGCGACGTCTAGTGTGAGGTGGTGAAACAGCCAAGGGAACAGTTTTCTCTCAGTAACGCAGTGTTTTTTTTTTAATATAGCACTTCCAGTATATTCATGATTTTAGGATAATTACCATGATTTCCTCAAAACGCCTGACTCTACCTTGGAGCTCTATCTACACATATAGGTTCTGAAAATGTCTTAACAGGTTAGCTGGCTGAACCTCTGTTTTCCAGTCCTGGACCAACGGCCAAAGAGCTGTCCAGTTTTCTCCAGACCTTTTCTTTCTCAGTCTCTTTTGCTTCCTTTTAGTTTCTTCTCTAAGGCAAACGATGTTTAAGTATCCCAAAGGCCTTTCAGACAAAAGGCCTACAGCTGTGCTCGCCATGCACTTTTATACACAGAGACAATCCAAGTACCAACAGCTGAGGCTCATCACACAGGAAATAAGGTAATTATTTTTCCTTACTCTGCTGTGAAATATAGTTTCCACGTGGGCATACAGTAGGACAAAAGAAGCAAACACATTTAGCAAGCACTGTTATAGTGAGTAGAGGCTCTTCAAAACTTAAAATCTACTCCCTCCCCAATCCTACCCGACATTCTGTTACACTATGAAGATGCAAAGGATAACTTGATATTTACTACAGATATTCATGAACCTCTTAATCTTTCAATACTTCACGCTGCCTTCTTAGTGATGCACTTATTTCATCTGAGTAATCTGGACTTTCAGCAGCACTTACAAAAATGTTGCTTCTACTTCTCACTGCCTGAGACTTCAGTACCTTGTAGTTGTAGTAGGGCGCGTGCTGCACCTCATCCCACATGCGCCCAGAAATGGAGCCGTTGATTTGTTTCATCATGATCTTGTAGGGAACCTGGCGCCCAGCTGCGTCGCTACAAGGTGCGCCCCGAAATGGCACCTTCCGGATAGTGCAGATGCCCTCCTGGAAAGGAAGACACCCCTTAGCCCAGAGGCCCTCTCCAGTTTGTCTCTTATTGTTATAGACAAACTTTCTTAACCGTAGTATGTTTTTAAATTTTCTTTCAACTTGTGTTTTTTTTTTTTTACGTGGGGGTTTGAATTTTTTCCTCAAGCCCTGTGCCCAGTTTCTGAGTTCCAGAATTCCCCCTCAATTCGGGTGTGTGGTGAAATATAACCAGTTGGATTTGTCTGGAGGAGAAGGGACATCAGAAGGAGTGTTTCAAGGAGAGGTGCTTCATTCTTCCCTGCCTATGCTTATCATAAATCAATCACCTATTAAGAACTTTGTAGTCAGAAATAAGGGGGCAAATTCTTCATCAGAAGCTGAGTAGAGACGGCATCAAGTTTTGTACCTGAGGCTGTTAGAATAATGTACACACCAACGACAGTACATGTACTTCTTTTCTGGAGATGTTACACCAATTTAGGTATTTACTAAGTCCCTGTGATTTTCTGTGGCACGGTTATCAGAAATACTGTATATGTCACCAAATCCCAGTTTTCTCTAGCTTGTTTTCAAAAATACCATTCCACTTTTACATCATACTGTGAAGACTACATTTCTGATATTTTCACGTTGAATTTAAGTTGTAAAAATGGTACGCTTTATTAAATGTCAGACTAAATTTCAATCGTACAATTACAATTATCAATACGTGTAATATTGACAGATGTTTTGAATATTGAAGTTCACTACCGTTTACCTCACCTTCATGAGGATGAAGTGGTTTAAGTTTAGGAATGCAATGACGCAGACACGGACAAAACAATATTTCTGGAACAAGCCTGAAGACACCACTTTTCTTTGTAAGCCACGTTTTACTGCTACCTGTAAGATCACCTGGTGCAGAGTAAGGGGATGTTTACCTGTGACAGTTCCACGCAGGTGTAGTCGTAGCCATACCAAGGCACTCCCATCACTAATTTCTTTGGGTCAATCTTCAGTGTGATGTAGTCATCATACGCTGATGAGCAGACATGAGACATGGCTGTTTTTAAAAAGCAGGCTGTGAAACAACTTTAAAAAATAATTTAATTTTTTAGGAATTGGTTGGAGGTTTATGAGGTAGTAACAAAAAGGAAATCATTTTTTTTTTGCTATTTTTTTTACTTTTTACTTTTTTATTGATTTTCATCAATATCGCAAAAGGGCAAAATATGTGATCACCCTCTGTGCATTTTATATTGTCTCAATCATGAACCAGTTATTTTGTGACATAGTTTTCACCTCTTTCAATACTAAAATGAGTTCTTTTGTACAACATACTCATTCTAGTGTATCAAAGTCTGTCATGAAAAATCGATAAATCAGAGTGATGCCAAAAACATCTACTATCCAAAATCCAGATACTTTATTTCTCTAAAAACAACTATCCATGAATCGAGAAAAATAATCCTTTTGATGTGTGGTATACAGGAAGCCTTTGCAGAAACTTATCTTTACAGGAAACTATCTTTTAAAATCTTTTTTTTTTCCACTGCAAAAACTGCACAGAAAAGAACAATTTCTTAAATCAGAATACAAATGGCAAATGCTTTTCTTCTATCATGAGTGTTGTGGAGGCGATGCTTTGATACAACACGAGAATTGTTCATAGTCTTCCTGCTTACCTGTTAGTGTTTGGTTCAGTGGCGCATTAGCCTTTGCAATACAGTCACCCCAGATTTGGCTCTGTTCGTCGTAAGACATCACAAACACCAGGTCAGACACCTCTGCTATGGCAACATAGTCATAGCAGCGCTTATCGATACACTTGGGAGACCACGCAACATCAAACGATACCTGAAAACACCAAGGACTAGTTGTTAAAGTCATAATAAACAATCAATATCAAGTGGCGCATTTAAACACAAACCATGAAGGAAGACACTTCGAATTTGCTAAAATAGTAAGAAAGCAGTCTTTAACCGAACATTGAAAAATGTTGTCCAGCTAATGAATCACATTTATTAATATATTATTATTATTTTTAAGTATTATACTGATAATCCCTAGTTGCATGGCATTTTTGATATTTGTCCTTGACATTGAAAGATACAAATCCGTAAAAATCGATCAGATCAAACGAGCAGACATTTCTAGTGCCTGGGCAAAACATTTAGTTGAAGTTGACAGAAACTGAAATCTCTCATGCAAGTTTAACTATTCTACTATTCTCTAGCCTAAATGCTTAAGCACAGGCTTATAGCGCTACGAAGACTATACATCTGGTTCTACTGAGGTGAGTTTCTGTAACTTACAGAACTGTGTGTTACTGTAGTCATGCTACAGTCATGATAAAAGCATGTGGAATTCATTACTTTCCCAAGGGAATGACTGCAGGCCCATGAGTATGAGACAACTGAACCCCCAAAATGAACAAAAATGGACTTCCATACTATTATTGCATACAGTACACTGCAGATGGCATATTTAAGGTGGGCAAGCTCCAAATTCAGGTTAACTTCTTTTAGAAAGAAAAGAACAATCATTAGACCTTTTTATACATCCTTATACATGCCTCAATTTGTAGTCAAGACAGAAAAGTGCATCATTTGAGTGACATAAATGACCAGGAATAATGCAGACTCATTACATTTGGAAACTAAGACACTGAGCTTCATGACAGCATCAGGAGAAGACGAGTATCTTTTATTTCACATAGTATCTGTCTGCCAGGGATCAAGACCACAAGATTTGTGACAGGGGTGGCCGAGACATGGACACCAGGGAGTCTGTCTGAAAGACTTCTACTGTCAGACGTTATGTTCACAATGTTTGACGTTAAGCATTAGGTCTGACCACAATCACCTCTTCTTTTCATTTACAAATTCCTGATGACTTCCACTTGAGCAACAGCTGTTGAGGTGGGCTCAAGGAATTTTCTTTTTTTGAAGATCACATCCCTTTCAGGTTCATAAAAAACATTTGGTATCCTAACTGCATCAATAAATCTTTTAAATAATGATCTTGTACACTAATGTTTCAGAAACAATGTAATAGAAGTCCCTACTATCCTATCCACCTATCATTAAACAGCAAAATCGTACAAACATTTCCTCCTGCCCCCTGGTGAGTTGCTTGCGCAGGTGGTGTTGCAGCCAGCCAGTCTGCATTATCAGACTGGAAGCCTGCAGAGATGTAAGAATGCTTTTCTTACCTGTGACCCTGGAATTTCCCTATGGAAGGCCTCTGTGGTCTCTCTGACCAGTGCGGTCAATGCATAGTATTCTGGTGAGGCCTCCTCCACTTCCTGCTCAATGTCAATATTGATCCCATCCATGAACTGCTTCTTTGCCAAGGTCACCTTCTCCAAGATCCAGGCTGTTCTGTTGGATGGGTCTACAATGTCGCTGAGGGGCACATCTCCTACAAAAAGACATGCAGTTAAACATTAACATTCACTGTGACAGGAGCTCCACAATACCCCAAAACTGGCAGCTGTCTGGCAATGTGAATTGACTTCTCAGCTCGTGCCTTGCCATTAGCATTCCCTTCACTTTTTCAGAATTGACTGGACTCCATATTGCTACAGTAATAGAGTGATGGGTTGTGAGCTAGTATTTTCCAGTCACCATGGGATAACTGGGTTCTGACTCTGGGTCATTTAAAATATTTCCCTTCCTGAAGTTCTGCTTTTGATATTGTCATTCATGGTACAGAACTGGATGGTATGGAAAATAATTTAAACATAAGTGGTGCTTTCCTTTGTTAGGTTGGCTCCTGTTTGACTAATAGCAGCTACAGTAATTTGTAAATCTAGACCTTTTACATCCGATGTGCCAGATGTTGCACAGGGATCATTGCTGGGACAATTACTATTTATTTAATAATTACTGTTTATTTAGAGAACATATGCAGCCTTGGTCAGATTAGTCACCATCATGAACTTGGGTTTCACAGTCATAACACTTAAATTTACTATCACATAAAACCAGATAAAGAACTACTGCTGTGGTTTCTGCACTTTACAGTTGCCTGTAAGTTGTCTGTACAGTTGCCAGTTGTGTCAGTATGAATCCTATTCAACTTTAAGCTAAAGTGTTACAAGAAATGCTCATAGCCTCCTAACATTAAGCAGACAATTTGGTGGCTTCAGTAATGTTGTTGATGGTGCTGAAATTAAACCCTGAAGTGAAAAATGTCTGTTATCTTTGACCGAAAGCTGTCATTCAAAGCTCTTGTTACAAATGTCACAAGGGTATTTTTTTCCATCTGTGTAACATCTGGGTGACCTGGTTAATGTTTTTGTTCTGTTTATGAAATGCTGAAAACATGATGCACCTGTATTTCATCTTGATTAGACTGGTGTAATGGCTTACTGCGGTACCTACTAAAGTACATAAACCATTTCCAAAGATCTGTGGCAAACATGCTAGGTCTACTGTGCCACCACATTGAATTTCTGTGCAGACAGCGTTGGTCTCCTGTGAAATGCAGAATGGATTAGTGTGCGTTTGCTAACGTATAAGAGATTGAACAGTCCAGATACATATCACACAAATGCATAAGAGACTGTGCTGCTGTGGACATTTTTAAAGCTTCCTTGTTTTACTCTTGGTTTTAATTGACCTGATTTTATTTTATGATTTATTTGTGTAAAACTGGATCGCTGTGCGCCCGAGACAGGCTTAGAAATCAATATAATATTTGCCATTATGGGGATCGAGGATATTATGACTATTTCTTAACTATTTAGACCTTTACGTGAAATCAGACATAGAACTGCGGATATATCCATTGCCTTTCAGGACGAGTCGAGCTCCTTTGGAATGGGCGTAGCACATGAGCTCCGGATCAAACTTCCCAAACGCTGCAACAGTTGTGACTTTAGACCAGTCATAAGACTTCCATGTTTTTCCTCCGACGTCAAAGACGTACACCTGTAGGTTAAAAGAAGCGCAAGTAATACTCTGTATTATACAAAACATTTTCTCAGTATGATTCACTAGATGTTTTTGGTTACTGATGAAATATATTTTGATACAAAATATGTATGGTGGTTTTGTTTTTTAAAACGATTATTTGTACACGTTTACGATTCTTTTAAACTACACATTAAAAACATTTATAAAATGAAACCGAAAAGATTATGTTGATAGTTCAGTACGTGACATTTACAAATCGACAAGTACAGTATGTATCTCCTTTACAATTAAAGGAGATCGTCCAGTTCAATTAAGACACCGTGCTTACTTCGAACTCCTTCACATCGGTGATCTGTTTGCAGAGGTCCCGAGTTTCACAAGGACAAACGCTGTCACTACGCACCAGCGACAAGCAGTGCGCAGTTAGGATCAGAAGAAACCAAACAGCCCCAGACATGCCTTGCTGTTGCTAACTCTGACACATTTGCAGAGTCCAAAGAATATCAGTTATTTCATGAAGACGCTGCAGTTTCTAATCAGAGAACTTCCTCAAAGCTGGGAAAAAGTGGCTGGTCTTCGTCACTATGGAGGGCCAGACGGGACAATTTTATTCTCCATTCTTTCAGGGCAATGTTTATTTCTCATACTTAAAAAAAAAATGGAGTATGTTGTAAGAAAATCAACAAAATATATGGAAATGAATGGAACAACAGTTCAAATTTTGCTTATTAGAAAACCGAACCATCAATGCTTTATCAAACATATCTTCACGTTGCTTTTCTTCATTTACATGTGCTTTTGCAATATTTAAAATCTCTCTATTATCGAGTCATATTGCTTAACTGTGTAAATGGTTTAAATGGTATTTTTACAGGAGTTGAATTAGAACACGCTTTGCGTTATATGCTGAAAACCAATTCCAAGAAAAAACATTAAGAACTCAAACATCGTAGTGTGGTAAGTACAGTACAGTACATACAGTACGATTACTTTCTTACAAGCCCTACACTTTGGTGTGTTTTGCGTTTAGTTTTAAAATGTTACAAATCAAAACAAAGCTAGCTTAATAATAAGTTTGAGCAAATTGGGGAACAAAAGCTGCAGGAGCAGATCAAACAATTTTTGTTGGAAAAGGGCATCATGTCCAGGTTTAACAACCAGAATACAGTATAAAGTACATTGGTACAGAAGCAAGTATTTAAATGTTAGAGAGCAGTCTGACCCAGCGATGTCTGCGTCCAGTCCTGACCTTTAGCTCCAAGGAATATTTGCCTACAGTACAATAGCAAAGTGTGCTTAACATTCCAGATGAACAGTCATTCAGAATGTGACTATGATTTTCACGAATCTGCTTTCAATAAAAAGGCAAATCCAGTTCTGAATTGTAACTTTTAAGCTTTAGCCTTTATTCACAAAAACTAGATTGCATATAGTATAATATGCACTTTTACACTTTACACTTCAAATCATTTAGAAGTTTCCATAGAATTCTCCCAGTTTCCTGAAGAAATCATCCCTATAAGTCAATATTCCCAAGCGAGCAATTATTTATTTTTGTTATTATTTGAATTGTAATTCAGGTGTTTCATGTTTTACTAAACTTCTTATCTAAATCTTTTTCCCCGAAACTGTTCTTTAAGTCCGAAAAATAAAGTGCAAGGACTAATGTTATAAATCAAAACATAAAAATGGTTTAAAAAGTGTTAAAGATGAAGTTAGAGTTGCTGTCATATAGAGATTTCTCATTAGTTTTTTTAAATTGTTGTTACCCTTTCCTCGAAATTCAGCTTTTGCAATTTTTATTCCTATCGTGAAACACCAGCATTGCAATCACTCTTTGTCCATTAATAGACGAGGAGGAAAATGCTGCTTTAATTGTTGTTTGCTCCAAGAAATAAAAACCTTAATATCATTCATGAGAGTTTACACATCTGGTACTTACACTTAAAAATATCTATATTCTTTTGCAGAGCAGTATAACAACATATTTACATTGTAGAAATATTACTGCCTTGCCAATTTCAAGACCAGTTCATTGCTCAACCATTAGTGCCCAAAAGATAAATTGTCCCAATAAGTCACGGCGATCCTACAGTATGTCATCGAGGTCACAGTAACCTGATAAGAGTTTTAAAAACTGGCCAAATTGCTCATCTTTACTTTATTAAATGCCAGAATCGCAGTTTATGATTTATTTCAAATTCTACTCATTTCTCCTAATTGCTGTGTGTTAAATGTTTTACAGAAATATCTCAGAATCTTTTAGGTCAGTGTTGTTTTATATGAGCAAATGCCAAATGTAGATCTTTCTCATCATGGGTGTCCCCTACAGAGATAAGAAAATGCTGTCTCAACAACAGTAGACACCTACCCACTTTAGCATGCCTGAGTATAAGTTCTGTGACCCAAGCCTTGCTTTTCACCTTTCACAATGAGGGGAATCCTGTTAGCGTTAACTTTGACCATTGTAGGTAAGCGTGTTTCTCTGCAATTTGTTTTGAAGTTACTACAAAAGAAAGTATTGCACCTCAATATATACAGTACCAAAGCCACAGCATGTCAAAGTAACTGTTTTCCAGCTCTGGAAAAAATATTGGACCACCAATTTGTTTTTGTTTAGTCTCCAAAATGTTGTCTCAGATCTACTTTCTGTCTTTTTCTTACCTCTTCTATAATACTATTGCTTTTGATTTTTAGGGAGCCAGCAGATCACATTTGGTAAGTGTATATTTCCAGTCATCAATATTTTGTTGGTATTTTGGAAGGGCTGTAGCACATGCTGTAGAACCCACATCCTGCTTTAAACAAGGTAATGTCAAGCATGTATAAAGCCAACACAGGTATTTTTCCAAACCTGGAATTTATGTTAAAAGCATGTGATGTAATTGTAATATAGTGTAAAAAAAGTTCACAGCTGTCAATTAACTATTTGTTTGGTCATTTGTTTTCAATTGTTATCAAGCTTTGGGTCAAACAAGAGATGTTTTAACTTATATTATGCACGTTAGTTATCATTGAGACTCTAATACCTGAACGTCTATATTGACAGCACTTGTGTTGCAGTTCTGTTAGTATTGGCAGTCCAATTAAAATATTATAGACGTTTTGTATTTTAGCACACATGCTTAGAGATTCCATCTATGCATCATCAAATAAACCTTTTAATAGCCCGAACATTTGTAATTGTCTCTTCGATCAACATACTGTAGAACTGTTACTAAAAGAGTTAAAAAGAAAATATACAATGAAGTAAAATACCTTGAGTTTTATCTTTTAGCTCTCCTTCAATCCAATCATTCACCTCTTTCTAAGGAAGAACTCTCAGAAATGGTTTTGTAATCCACAGAGCCAACCTTTAGTGGAAGCAAGAGCTATCAGTACAAGTATGAGGGCATCCTTTTATCTGGGCTTCCTGAGAAGGGATTAGCCAGAGCTGGGGTAAAAATCAGCTGCAGGGTGGACATTTCTGAAGTGGCCCAGAAAACCTACCTGCTGCAGGTGAGCATTATACTGAACAGTTAAGATTCATAAACACTCTTTCAAGCTGTTGTATTCTGCTTAACTAATGTGTGTCCTTTCTTTCAGCTTCTGCAGCCTGTTATCCAGGAGTATAATGGAATCTGGCCAAAAGCCCCATTTCACCCGGCAAGCAAACTGACACAGGCCCTGCAAAGACAGCTCACACAGCCTATCAAGTTTGAATACAGGAACGGGCATGTTGGTCACATATTCGCGCCTGCTGAGGTGTCTGACACTGTGGTCAACCTCCACAGAGGAATCCTGAATATGCTGCAAATGACCCTGAAGGCCACTCAGAATGTATATGAGCTACAAGAGGTAGGTATTTCTGCCTCAGTAACCTTGAAAGGTGATTTGGTCTGATTTGGTGTATTAATATTGAAAGTAATAAAGTCCATCTTAATGTTTACATATGATCATTTAGAAGGATCAGCCATACCACACCAAGGTGTTAAAATGGGGGGAAAAAAAGCTTTTTAAAGCAATGTATGGTTTTTCAAAACAAGTTTTTAAAGAAAGCACGGGATTTGGGGCTTAGTCAGGATTGGAATCAGAAACTGACCAAAGAGACAAATAAATCCATAAAGTAAATGAAAAAAAACATAATTAAAAGATAAGTAGAAGTTGAGTAAGTAGTCCAAAATCAATTTACTGTATAAAAAATCCCAGTTTTTGCTTGCTTGAAACTCTTCTCCTTGCTACTGGACTTGCTCCTGCCCTGACTTCCACAAAAGCCACAAGAGCTTCAGCAATCAATTTCCTTGCACCAACCCAATAGCCCATCTGTCAGCTAGTTTTAAGCTTGAGACTGCTGCTAGAAGAGCCCAGCACCTCTCTTCAATTTGGTCTCACCCACACTTTCAAATAAGGCGGGTTCTGACTTTTCCCCCAAATTAATTCAATGGCACCTACATAACATGCACAACCAAATACATACAGTACATACCTACTGGAATAACTCATCTCGATCGTGCTCATACCAAAACAAGGGAAAGAAATATTAAAAACAAACTTTTTTTCAAAATGTCAATAAAGAAACTCTTCCCTAAATGCTTCACAGTATGATTACATAAACCAGTAATGGCAGATATTAATTACTGTACTCTGGTTTTATGCTCTTTGCTGTAATGATGTTTTATATTGTCACAAATGAGAGACCTCTAAAACTTCGTATGTGATTTGTGTGACCACAAAGCTGTCTGTGAATTTTTTTCACAAATCTAACCCTTCAAGTCTTTCAATAAAACGTTACTTCTACACGTTAGCCTACAGGAGAATTGTTGAAATCGGGAGCTTCGGAAGAAAGAAGCAAGACATGTTAAATGCTTCAGTGCAAAATGGCGATGTTGACTTGCTCTCCCATTTCCTGCTGTTTTTCAGTCTGACATTTCGGGGACCTGCCAAACCAGCTATGTCATTCAGCAGGACAGAGACAGCGACCAGATCATTGTCACCAAGTCCAAGGACCTGGACAACTGTGAGGAAAAAGTCCAGAAAAACATGGGCATGGCTTATATTCACCAGTGCCCCACCTGCACCAAGGTGGGTGCCCTCTTGGAAGTCCTTCATCAATTTTAGATTTTCTCTACATGTCACATTAGGCACATTGCTGGGAAAACGTTGTTTTTTTTTTTGCTTTGTTCTGCTATTTCACTTTTCATTTTTTTCTAGTTTTCCCTGCATAGAGACACAATTCTATGGCGATTTACAAACATTTTAGGCATTTAGTCTTAAGGTAGGATGCAGTTCATTCTGTTAGTTCAGCATTTTGTAGTGCAAAATGAGTCAGTGTGATCTGATTGTTAAATATTGGTAACATTGGAGCATACTGGAACATACAGAGATAGTGACCACATGGTGAATGAGACAAAGAGCATCCTCTAGAATGTCAGAATATCAAGAAAGAGAAAATCGTGTAAAATGGAATAAGGATGAACCTCCCACTCATTGTTCATCTATAATAATAATCAAGCTATTTTGCTGTCTTTTGTTCAAATTAGATTTAAATAACAGGATGCCTTTTCATTTAAACTCTGTTTTTTACAGTGTGCTTCTCGAGCAGCACACATACATGTGGCAGTGTGTAAACTCGACTTGTACGAGCAGCTTTCTGTGTTGTCAGAAGAAATTTGAGAGAATGTATTTAGGTTGCCGTGGGTTAACACATAATAGTAAAAGGTAGCTGAAGCTCTGCTGGAGGAGACAAACTTGCAATTGGCTTTGTCTACTCCCACATCAAGGGCCTACTTCGTAGCTTAGTTTTTACAAACACTTAATATTTTTAAGATGATTAGGAACATCTAATATGAAGTAATATGAAGTTTTGGATGTAAGATGTTTTAAAAAACCTTACTTGGGGTAACTTTACTACGGTTCTTTATTAATGAAGGAAGAATTAAATCTTTTGTACTTTTTGTGAAATTATTGGCAGACACATAGCACCTAATGCTGTGGCTTATTGTTTTGTCAGAACAGGAGACCTCAGCGCACTTATTGGCTGCGTAAGAGTTTGTACTGATGTCAGTCCTCAGGTGTGCAGAATGATAAAGAGGTTTGATGTGGGCACGAAGGAGGCTTTAGTGATAGACTGAGTGATAAACAAAACTGTTGCAGTATAAATTTTAGGCCTTGATTTCGCTTCAGTGCCCCTCTTCTGCAAATAAAGGGTAATTTAAAAGCTAAATACTTGATCTTTTCAGTAGAGCCAAACAGTATAGCCATTGTGTGCTTCACCTGGCCATATTAAAGCATGTTTTAGCTTAAACTATGTTTGTTTGCTCCCACAGTAGACTTTCAAAGATGATTTAGAAAATGCAATGGGGTAAATGCAACTTTAGAAGGTCACATTTGAACATTAGACATTAGACATTAGAACTAGAAGGTCACATTTGCACAATACATTATTTACATACAGTAAGTAATACATAAGTGTTATATCTTTTTCTTAACAGAGTTAGAGATTTGTAATAAGCAGCTTAGTTTTACAGGTAGTTTTGACCCATCCCCACCTGACTGCTTTGTATCGTATGACTCCAGTTTGGAAGGAATCTCAGGGGGACTGCAGCTTCCACTTATGTCCTGAAGCCCATGAGGGCCTCGCCTTCTGGCTTCCTGGTCACTCAAGTCACATCTCAGGCTGTGTACCAGTTCACACCATTCAGTGAAATAAATGGAGCAGCTCTCACGGAAGCCAGGTAGGGTGTAAGAAAATGTCTCTCTCATGCCGCCTGGTCCCTTCACGGCCTGTAGGGAAATGACATGAGGCCCATAATACAGAAGCAACTTCTCAAGTTAAAACAGATTGACCCAGGTCTCCAAACAACTTGCAAACAGTTTTAATTGTGCAACTTCACCCTCAGGAAAGTGTCTGGTGACTAAATGAGGGGATATCATTGTCAGTATCAATATTGTTAATATTTGTCAATCCTTTTAAGTAAAAAGCATTTTTTTTAATTGAGGTTGTGTTTTAGGTCTGTTATTTGTCTTTTTTTTTGTTCATTCTGGATATGTTACTTGCATTTCTGCATACCTTACAGAACATAAGGAATGATGTGTAATTCTTACAAGTCTATAATAAGCTCCCAACCTGTAATGATTACATTTGCAAGTGATTGAAAACACATGACTTTATAAAAATCACGTGTTTAAAAATCAGTACAGATGCAGATTTAATTGGACCATTGTGTTTGTTTGATTACTGGTTTGCCATGTTACCGATTCTAACATTCTTTCTTGCCAGAAATGATAGTTCTCATAAGGTGTGAGATGCTTGTGATCTATGTTTTGTATTTTATCTTTCACTGGTCCTTCTCCAAGAGTGAGGAAAAAATCATTTAAAAATGGACTTTCTTGGTTGATCAAAATACAGCTTACAAGGAGCCATCATCCACATCAGATTCTTTATCCTAAAAACACTTTTTATTTTAACAGTCAGAAGCTAATTTTGGAGGAGACAAGAGGGGCACGCGCCAATTTTCTAGAACAGCAGTTTCAGAATCGGGGACGCCTTCAGTATCAGTTTGCTTCCGAAATCCTTCAAAGTCCAATTCAGCTTTTTAGAACACAGAGTCCAGAAATTAAGGTAGGCATTGTGAGGCCTGGAGACACTGAAAAGGGTAATATTAATATTTTAAACAATGAAATTGCTTTTGCATTTTATAATTTTATTATAGTTCTTAATTGCACAAGATACCAATATGAATAACAAATAGGTTAAATGCCCCTTTTTGAGACAATCAGGTTAGTCTCCATTTTTTAATAAAAGATATAACTCTAAAGTAATATTTTGTATTTTATTTTGCAATAATGTTATCATTTGACATTAATAAATAATAAACCCCTAGTATAAAATGAGATTACGATACTGTATACATTGCTAATTTTATGTTGTCAATCAGATAAATGATATGGTGACCATTCACTTTCAGCTAAGATGTAAATGATCTGACAATGAGTAATGAAGTATTTGGAGCGCACAACACATATAGGACACATACAGGATATGTGGCACAGTCTTAAATTTGGAGAGAGTCTGAAAATAAACATGAGAACATAGTGTTACAGCCTGATGAATAGTGTTGTTTTTTTCCCAAATAGATTAAAGAAGTTATCCAGTATCTCATCCAGAATAATGAGGAGAATGTCCCAATGAATGCCCCCTCCAAGTTCCTGGAGTTGATTCAGCTGCTGCGAGCCTGCTCCAAGGGGAACATTGAGGCTATCTGGAGGCAGTATGAAAACACAAAGCAATACAGGTGAATATTCAACAGGCCTAATTCTATCCAGATTGACCAAACATCATGACAACAACTACACTGACCCAAGCCTGAGGAAGCTCTGTTTGTGTGTAGTACTTCACGACAATATTTTGTTAGTAAGCAGTATGCGTTCTTCTTACTTAAGTATGAAATTGCTTTTATTGTTTTATTTACCTTTTTTTGTGTTCTACTTTAGCTTTGTGTATTTAATGTGTCATTTGATCCTTTTTGATTCAACAGAATGGGACATTGAAAGGGAGTTAATACTTTTGCAAAGCACTGAGAATATACACTGTGTATTCTGTATGTACAGTATATTTCTCTTCAGAAAAGACTGAAAGTCACCGTCACTAAAGTAGTCATCCATGTGGCTGGGCATTGTGGACACTTGTTTCTTAACTTGTGTGCATTATAAAAAGTTGGCTGTTCTTAAATGTCTTTCCAATTATTTTATGGGAAGGCGTTGGTTCCTGGATGCACTTCCTGCAGTTGGATCTCCTACTGTCTTTAAGTTCATCGCTGAGCGGATCCTGAAGAGAGACGTGTCCACCACTGAGGCTGGCCAGATGCTGGTCACTGCCATGCACCTCGTCAGAGCGAGCCATGAAACCATGGAAATGGCCATGGTGAGTGTAGCTGTCAAATCTTGTTTACACATCGAAATTTTGGACAACACAGCCTGGGACGTGCTGGAACGCTGATTGCAATAGACTGTTGACCACCTGTTTTTATAACACCGGAAAACAATTCTATTTTATTACCAAATCTTGGGGTGTTGTCATTGTCATACAGTTTGATCAGAATAGGGTCAGAATATCTTAAGAACACAAGATTCTTGCTAAAGTTCATTTAATGTGTACCACATAACCTGTAATTTATAAATATCATGATGACTGGCTACAGTTGTAGATAAATGGAAAAAAAGGCTAGCAAGAGGGCTTTGCTAAAATTACTCTATTACTAATTATTTTAATCTTCCTTTTCATACAGGAGCTTTTAAATTCATTGGAAAACCTGAAATGGCAACCGGTCTATAAGCTTGCTGTGCTGGCCTATGGTTCAATGGTGAATAAATACTGCGGGAGACCTGAGGACTGCCCTGCAACTGTTTTAAAGGTGCAACTTGGAAATAAGTGTCATAGCGTCACAGTTAAAAATCCAGTGCCATTTTATTCAGTTGAGCACGAGTGAGCCACATTTGTTTGTTTAGTCCCATTGAGTGTTTGAGCATGCTCCTCAATAAAATTCCACCTGTGCGCAAACTGCATGGAATTACTGGTTAAAAATCGACTTAACAGACAGTAGTTTTATAAAGATCTTTTTATGACGCTGAGAGATTTCTAAGTCTTCGTCAGCTTTAAGTGTCACATTTAGTGGCCAGCTTGCTGGGATAAGCTCTGGCGTCCTCCAAGACCTTGTACTGGATAAAGCAGTTAGAAAATGAATGGATGTTGTGGTCAGCATGCTAAAACAAGCAATCGTACTGGCTCAGGAAGGTACACGGTTATTATCAGTTTGGAGCTCTCACTATGAGCTGTTGACTTGCCTAGTCTTTTTTCAGCCACACTTTCATAGTGCTTGTGTAATTATACAGAAACTCCATTTGCAGGTGGGCAGTGTGGAGGAATTCTCAGGGAGACATAGGGACTGTCCATACATGAAAAGTAGTTTCAGGAGGCTGAACGTATCCATGTCTTCTGACTAAAAATATGAATGGAAACATTTTGGACTTGTGGGCAGCTATGTCTTGGGACAAGGAAGGTGGAGTAGGATGAAAATCTAACTGCATGTGTTTGAACTCTAGCCCCTCCATGACATGGCTGCTGATTCAATGAGCAGAGCCCATGAGGAGGACATTGTCCTGGCTCTGAAGGCCATAGGGAATGCAGGGCAGCCTGCCAGCATCAAAACCATCATGAAGTTCCTGCCAGCGTTTTCCTCCATAGCTAATCATCTCCCAGTCAAAGTCCAGGCTGATGCAGTGATGGCCATGAGGAACATTGCTAGGAAACAGCCCAGTAAGGTAAGACTCCCAACAAAATGTCTTTAATCCAGAACAGATACTTGTTTTGGTACCATTTGTATTGCAATAAAAGGGACTTGAGATTTTTAGTACAGCTCTTTGAGTTGGCAACTGTTGTTCTTTCCATATACAAAAACAGAAAAAATAAATTAAGATAAGCCTGGGTTCAAAAGATTCTACTGGAACAAAAGCAAATGTTTGGAGCTTCATAGTGACATAGAAACAAACATTAATGGAAAAAATCCTACCCAAAATACCCAATGTACAATTACAACAGATTACTAGCAAAAAACATCAGGGGGCCTTTGTCTTTTCATCTTGACCTTTCTCCAGGCTTTGGAACAAAATATTTAAATGCAATCTGAAGTACAGACCCAAGCACTCACTGCTTGTTTGTCCCCTCTCTGTGTTCATCTGTTAAAGCAGGTCCAGGAAATAACGCTGGAAATCTTTATGGACAGAAGACTGCAACCGGAGGTCCGAATGATTGCGTCTATTGTTCTGTTGGAAGCCAAGCCACCCTTGGCTCTGGTGGTAACAGTGGCAGAAGCTCTGCTGAAGGAGACGAGCTTGCAAGTGGCCAGCTTTGTCTACTCCCACATCAAGGGCCTGTCTAGGAGCTCTGCGCCCGAGCACCATGCACTGTAAGAAAGATTGGGTTTCCTCTTTTCTCTAAACATCTTAAAAGCACGACACTGTGAATTATTACCCTGTAAAGAAAAGTAGCATGCATAGTACAGTATCTTCCAAAAGGGATTCTGCCCCTGCAACACAAGGGATTGTGGTCAATAGCAGAAGAGCTTTCATTTTGTATTCCCTATTCTCACATGAACTCAGGCAATGTTACTTAAGAATATAAGCAACCTAAGAACATAAGAAAGGTGACAAACAGAATGGCCCATTTACTCTGTTTGGTAGTTAGCAGCCAATTGAGCTAAGGATCTCATCTCGCTTTCTCTTTGAAGAAGCCAAGGGTGTCAGCTTTATCATGCTTGGGTTAGTTTGTTCCAGACTCCCACCACACTCTTAATGTTTGAAAATAGGTTGAGATAATTTTGGCACCCACCCCTATAGTCTTTCACTTTCACAGACGAAAAGTACAAGAAGCCCCATGAGAGACTGCTCCCCGGTTGATATGGTGTCAGAGCAAGACCCCGTAAACAAACTTTGAGCAGGACCTTCAGCTTGTGTCCCCTATTGCTGTGGTCTGTACCATGTTTCTGGCTAAAGACCAAGCTTGGATACACTGCATTTTGTGAGAATGGTTTGTAAGATTATGAATATAATATCTGATGGTACTTCTTTGGTGACAGATTCTAGGTGTCCCATTCACAATAACAGATTGATGTCACAGAGCATTGTGTGTGTCCTGACAATGTTGTATGCCATACAGCATTCATATCAGTAAACCAAACACCTTTACGATCTCAAAATGTCAAGCATTGCATTAGATCGTTAGCATTCACTACACAAAGGATGTTCAAAATACAGTACTTGCATACTATGCTAATATGGTGTTATGAGTCTTGACTATTAAAAAAATGTTTAAAAAAACAGAGAACAGATCTGGGATTTTTGGTGACTATGTTTGTTTTTAGGTCTGCTGCCTGTAATGTAGCTGTGAAACTCCTTAGCTCTAAACTCGACCGACTGAACTATCGGTATAGCAAAGCTATTCGTATGGACATGTATCACTGTAAGTATGACTGAAGTACATTTTCACCATAAATAATCAAATTTTTGTTAAAAATATTGAGATTCTTGTCTGTATTTAGAGAACAAATTTCATTGCAATTATTTTCCAGTCGAGTGTTTAATCCAACCCCAGATATACAGTTCATGATTTTCTAATTAGGCTAACGTTTTTTGATTCTGCTAGAGATTTTAAATTTACCCATAAATGTTCATAGATATCTTGAAAAACCAACTTTTCAGGAGCACAAAATATTGAAAAAGTTCTATTCAGTCACATTATTGGTCCAATTCAACAACCCAGCTGGAATGAAAACCAGATGGAAGAATTGTTTTTTTTTTCTTATTTAGTATTAAAAATTGAATGAATGAACATTATAGAACCAAGGTGATATCCCTGCAGTTTTCTTCCTGACCAATTTTAAAAACTTATACAGACATGTCTTCGTTAGACTACACGTCTGCAAAATTATAAGAGTTACATAAATAGAAATAACAAATGTAACAATAAGAGTTGTTAAAACAGTCATGCAAAATGACAACTAAACATTGGTAATAAAATATGTTAAATACCACAGTTTAATCATTGTTAAGTTACAATCAATGTTATAAAAAATGACAAATACACTCAGCAAACTGGGAATTTACCTTATTTTCTATTCACAACTTTATCATAATAAAGAATAATGTTCAGGAGCAGATCACTGTTTAAATAGTTTAAATGCCTTCCTTTCAGTTTGTAACAGGACTTTATGTGTCTCTGAACTGCAGTTTAAATTTATCATGGAATAAAAAATGCTTAAAGAGCACAGTCAGTCACCACCTTTTCCCATCATTTCTTATTTTTCATGTTACTTCTGTAGACAACTTGAAGGCAGGAGCAGCAATGAACATGTTCCTGATGAACAGTGCAGCCAGTGTTTTTCCCACAGCTTTTATCACAAAATTGCAGGCCAGCGTCCTTGGTTCTTCATCTGACCCTCTGGAGGTACTGAAGTAGCAATATGTAGCAGTCAATTACAGTATACTTTTACATTACATGGGAGTAATGCTTTGCATGCGGCCAAATACACCTCATTAGGCAGAATCAAATGAATGCCAAAGGTCAGCCATTGTGCTCAGTTATACATTTTTGAGATTAACAGGTGTGTCAACTCTCCAAATTCAATAACTAGTGAGTGAGCAGGTTCTATACTATAAATAAGGTGAATGACAATGATATAATTTGCTTTGTTCCTGTTCATAAGAGTTCCACGGTTAAGAACATTTGATACAAATTTTAAATTCTCACTCATTTGATAAAGATTTGGACAAATATCCTGTTGTTAACTAGTGAGGCAAAAAGAAAAAGGAAAACACCACATTTTTGTATCTAGAAAGCTTTGTTTCAAAACATTTCTGAGTACCAGCCTGGCTTTTTATCATCTACAGTTTCACATCCAGACTTGTTTTTTCTAGCTTGGCATTCGGGCTGAAGGGTTAGAGGAAGCTCTTGAAAAATATGAAGACGAATTTACAAATATGCCCACATCAAAGAAGATTGAGAAGGTTTTGAAGATGGTAAGGTGATAAACTGTCCCTAATGCTCTTTCATAAATACATTGATAAGCACATATTTAAATTGTTTTATGCAGACTGTGCATTGGACATCATCATGTTAAAGTTATCCTTCTTATGAACTGTTTGTTTATAATGTTTTTACAAAAGTAATGTAGAATAACTAGCGATGAAAGATTAGGAAATAGTAAACAAGAACACACATTTTCTGGCTTTTGTTTCAGCTGAGCAGGTGGAAGTCTGTACCATCAGAGAAAACACTGGCATCAGCATATATTAAGCTGTTTGGACAAGAGATTTCATTCTCCCGCATGAATAAGAAATACATAGAAGAAATAATGCAGGTACTTGATAAAAACTTTTTTTTTCACCAACACACTGCCAATAAATAATGTAACTAAGACAAAATCTTTTATGAGGGTTAAACAGTACCATTTTTTCTTATATTCCTCAAAATACAAAAATAATTTTGTCATCTTTCTGCAGTTGTAAGGCAGGGTAGTGAATTGGGTTAGGTTTTGGCCTTATGACTAGAAGGTTGTGGGTTCAAGTCCCTGCTACAGACACTGCTGCTGTCCTCTTGAACTGAGGAGGGAATTAAATGCTCTCTAGTCACCTAAAAGAACCCAGAACATACAGTACTGGCTCTGGAACTGTATGGACTTAGCTTTTTACTTATATAGTAGCTATACTTTAATTGTTAAAATTAATCTATGATGATGCATATAAGCTGTGGAACAGTCATGCAGCAGACTGACAGATCGTATTAACTGGTTATACCCAGGCTATCAGAGAGCCGGTGGAAAGACAGACGCTCATATGGAGGATTGTGACTCAGCTTCAGAGTGGAACAGCTGTACAGCAATCAATACCCCTACTGGTTGCTGAGATGCGCCATATCATCCCCTCATGTGTTGGATTACCAATAGAAATGAGCCTCTACTCAGCTGGTGTAGCCACTGCTTCAATAAATGGTAAAAAAGTTTTTATTTTAGTTGTCAAGGTCCATAGTGCACTTCTTTTACTGTATATTTTAAACAACTACTTCACCATTTGTCCAGATGACTGAATATATTATCTTTCTCCAGCTCAAATGCAGATCACACCAACCCTTGCCAGAGAGTTCAGTGTAACTCAGTTACTGAACTCAGAGCTCCAGCTCAAGACAGATGCCACCACCAGGTAAATAAGATACTTTATTCCTTAAACCTAATAAGACCAGCAGTTAGAATCAGCATTTTGGTTGGTGCTATTTATTGGAGCTCCCGAGATGAATAACTAAGATTTACAGTATAAACCTGTTTTTACATTTAGTAATAACCATTTTTATATACACTACATGTATACATACTTTTTATATAAACTACTATAGATATATAGTATATATAGCTCCCCTTAAATATATATAAGCTTTTTTACAAATTTAAGGTGTATATATTATATATTACTCCCTTTATATACTGTATATGAGAGTGCAAAGGAGGAGTGTTTCAATTTTTAGATTTTAAAGGGCTCAGGAATCTTTTTATAGTAACTGTTTATTTTACTTCAGGTAGAAGTCTCTCACAATTATACACCTATAAAGTCCCAAGAAACCCTCATTAGTGCTCCAAGTGCTCCAAGGGTGTACTTATCACAAACAAATTCATGACCCAGAGAGAGCACACAGGATTAATATTGGAGCTCACAGGGAAAGACCTTTTTGTTTATTACTCCTTAAACCTATCGTGAGATCATCCTTCAGGTTGCCAGAGTTTGGATGGGCCATTTCAGAGTGATTGATGTTTGATCTGCTCTTGCTGTACAGCACAGAAAAGTATTAGGATTAGTTTAGAAATCCTTTCACAAACCTGGAGTGCAGCACTTTCTGCTATGCCAAATATAAACTCATCTATAGTAGCCAAAAAGCATAGTTTATGCCCTAGACCTGATTTTATTTAGTTCAGGTGGGTAGCTGCGTTAGCATAGGCTGCAAAGGAACAAGTAATAGGTTTATTCCATGCTGAAAGGAAGAAAAAAGAAAACACAGTGTTTTGGCTGTGGAGTCTTCTTCGGGTGTAAACCGAAACGTTGTGTTTTCTTTCTTCTCTTTTCAGCATGGAATAAACCTTTTACTTGTTTCTGATTATATTTAGGCTATTTAAACAACTACAGTTCTACAGCTGTCTTTTTCATTCTGGCTTTACCCTTTTGGACAATGACAGAGTTGAGAATGTTGGAGTGTTGGACTGGATTCTTTGTATAGGTTCAGTGATATTAGAAATTCTGTGAGGTCAGGCACTCTGAAGGTGGGCATGTTGGTTTTATTCTTTTCACCTTTATTGTGTCTTTTTCATGGAGTGTCGGACAATATAATACTGCTACTATGGGACTGCTCGATTGAAGTGTATGTGTCTGGGTTTGTCAGTGTGTGTTTACAGTTTAGTTTGAAACCACGGAAGACAGTGTTCTTTTGTTTTGGGTCTACAGTATGAACAATGAACAATCAACATCATAGCAGGGAAATGTGCAGTAATTTTTCACAGCTTGTCGGTTTTGTGTTTCTTACATTGAATCATAGTATTGCATCCTATAATGCCATATCCTATCACGTTTCTGGAAGTCATTGCTCTTTTTTGCACGTGAAATAAAACAGTAGAAATTCTTATAGGAACTGATAAGAAAATACATTATCCTGTTGTTTTTGCAAAATGAAGGTGAAGCTTAACAGTTTTACATTTTGCCTGCATCAGTTTCTGCATGAACTCTGTATTTTTGATCCAAGGTTCTGGACTTGGGTTAATAACATTTCATAGAACAGCACACACCTGTAGGGACTTTCAAATGCTTTCTAATCCATTGTGGGACATTGAGTAGAGTATGTTCATATCTTTTACCTCTTAATGCCTCCGAACGTTTGTATAAAATTTCAATGTGTGCATTGCATCACAATTGTGAAGCAAGAGTGTGTGCAGAACTTTACTTTTGTGTTAAATTTAAATGCCAGCAAGTGACTGAGCTTTTTTTTTGCTAGCTTTACCATGAACGCTGTGGCTGTTATGGGGGTCAACACCCACCTCATTCAGACAGGTGTGGAGCTCCAAGCAAGAGTTCATACTGTGATCCCAATGAAGTTCACTGCCAAGTTGGATATGAAAGAGAAGAACTTCAAGATGCAGTTTGAGCCCTGCCAGACTGAGACGGAGCTGCTAATGATGAGGTATTTGCTGTTCGAGTAAATATTCTTCTTGACTTGGAAAGAGAAAGAACAGAGGAACAAGTCCTACAGTCCTTTTTTTAATACAAGTTCGATTTTTACTTTTGAGCTTTCACAGTTTCAGTTTATAAGACGTGGGCAATACATGCTGGTTGCCTGACATGGTAGAATTTGTTTTGCGTACACAAAAGTCACAGCAACAGAGTTTGTTCATAAAAAGTATATTTTTTTATATATATATTTAAAAAAATAACTGTATCTTTTTAAGGGCTCAGGCTTTTGCTGTAACAAGAAATGTGGAAGATCTGGAAGCTGCAAAAAAGACACCATTGTTACCTGAATCTGCTCAGGCGGAGATCATGAAGCAGCATTTTGACCCAGAGGCTTCAGCCCCTCGCAGAAGAGACTCAGCTGAAGCAATGGTAAGCTGGTGGTCTTTTCCAGCTCTTCTTATCGAGGTTTTTTAGTTAGTGTTTAATCATATCTTATAGGATTATGATAATATATATATATAACTTTATGGTCCCAGAGAACTGTAAAGGCCTTTGCTCCTAAATTATGTCTTTTATAAACTGGGTGTTTTCTACATTCCCCCTAACATTACACTATGGTTCACCTATGTACCAAACCACTCCACTACTCTCAGGTAAAGATAAAAGGAAAACGCTCATTCAAGAAAATGGTACAGTATAGTGTCGTATTGCTCTATTGCTCATATTGATGGGTTTATTTTACCAGGAAAGATATGCATCTCATTTTTAATGGTGAAGAATTATAATTCTTCACATAATAAGTTACCACTGATATTTTTATGCTCCTTTCTACGATGTTTCATGTTTTATGTTAACTTGATCTCAAGACAGACATACAGCAGTAGTAATTGTTCATATCTTTTCATTTGTAGACCAGGCTGTCTGATGAGATGATATCTCCGGGCTCAGTGACCTCTGATGAGCAGAGAAGGAAGCACTCTTCTCACAGGATGTACAATGTTTGTACCAAGATCAGGAACTTTGGATTCCAGTTGTGCTTCGAGGCCAAATCAGAAAATGCTGCTTTCCTCAGAAACACACCTCTTTATGTAATGATTGGACAGCATTTCTATAAAATTGATCTCAGACCAGGTATGGAATGAAATGTTCAGCCTGATAACAGGCAACTAGAATATAGAACTCTGCAGATCCAACATAGATTTTAATTTCTTGAAATATATTTTGTGGTTGAAACTAATTTATTAGAATATTGTGGGACTCCTAACGCTGGTTTCACGGACCAGAATTTGCTATATTTTTAAACATGGTTGAAATTACATTCATTTGAGATTCCTGCTAATCTGGGTTTGATAAATCAAAGTTCTTTGTGAATGTAAAAGCAGTGTTAATGGGACAGGACATCCATTTGACATAAAATACAAGGGGTAGCAAATAGCTTTTTATGCAGCCCACGGTGACCCTGTGGCATCGGCAATGTTAAGTTTGAAGTGAATGTTATGGAGAAGTGCTCTGATGGGGCAAGCCTGGGTTTTGACCATGGTCCCCTCTGGGAGTGAAAATTGGCTTGATTGCCTGATTAGTGTCCTGTATGACTGGAGTGCCACTGGAAGGAATGAGAACTAATTTTAGACTAAGAATGACTAAGTTGTTTTTACACTAAGGATTGTGGGCGTCTGGAACAAGTTACCAGGCTACCTTCTGGGGTCCTTCGAGAAATGACTGGATGAGATTCTTTGATCAATTACAGTGCCTTGCGAAATCTAAATCTAAACGAAATCTATTGGATTTTTGAAACTTTTTTAACTAATAAAAAAATGAAAAGTGGGGCGTGCAAAATTATTCGGCCCCTTTACTTTCAGTGCAGCAAACTCACTCCAGAAGTTCAGCGAGGATCTCTGAATGATCCAATGTTGTCCTAAATGACTGATGGTGATAAATAGAATCCACCTGTGTGTAATCAAGTCTCTGTATAAATGCACCTGCTCTGTGATAGTCTCAAGGTTCTGTTGAAAGCGCAGAGAGCATCATGAAGACCAAGGAACACACCAGGCAGGTCCGTAATACTGTTGTGGAGAAGTTTAAAGCCGGATTTGGATACAAAAAGATTTCCCAAGCTTCAAACATCCCAAGGAGCACTGTGCAAGCGATCATCTTGAAATGGAAGGAGTATCAGACCACTGCAAATCTACCAAGACCTGGCCGCCCCTCTAAACTTTCAGCTCAGACAAGGAGAAGACTGATCAGAGATGCAGCCAAGAGGCCCATGATCACTCTGGATGAACTGCAGAGAACTACAGCTGAGGTGGGAGAGTCTGTCCATAGGACAACAATCAGTCTTACACTGCACAAATCTGGCCTTTATGGAAGAGTGGCAAGAAGAAAGCCATTTCTCAAAGATATCCATAAAAAGTCTCGTCTAAAGTTTGCCACAAGCCACCTGGGAGACACCCCAAACATGTGGAAGAAGGTGCTCTGGTCAGATGAAACCAAAATCGAACTTTTTGGCCACAATGCAAAACGATATGTTTGGCGTAAAAGCAACACAGCTCATCACCCTCAACACACCATCCCCACTGTCAAACATGGTGGTGGCAGCATCATGGTTTGGGCCTGCTTTTCTTCAGCAGGGACAGGGAAGATGGTTAAAATTGAGGGGAAGATGGATGCAGCCAAATACAGGACCATTCTGGATGAAAACCTGTTGGAGTCTGCAAAAGACCTGAAACTGGGACGGAGATTTATCTTCCAACAAGACAATGATCCCAAACATACAGCAAAATCTACAAAGGAATGGTTCACAAATAAACGTATCCAGGTATTTGAATGGCCAAGTCAAAGTCCAGACCTGAATCCAATCGAGAATCTGTGGAAAGAGCTGAAAACTGCTGTTCACAAACGCTCTCCATCCAACCTCACTGAGCTCGAGCTGTTTTGCAAGGAAGAATGGGCAAGAATTTCAGTCTCTCGATGTGCAAAACTGATAGAGACATACCCCAAGCGACTTGCAGCTGTAATCGCAGCAAAAGGTGGCTCTACAAAGTATTAACGCAAGGGGGCCGAATAATTTTGCACGCCCCACTTTTCATTTTTTTATTAGTTAAAAAAGTTTCAAAAATCCAATAGATTTCGTTCCACTTCACAATTGTGTCCCACTTGTTGGTGATTCTTCACATAAAATAAAAAATTTATATCTTTATGTTTGAAGCCTGAAATGTGGCAAAAGGTTGAAAAGTTCAAGGGGGCCGAATACTTTCGCAAGGCACTGTAGCTACTTGGCAAGCAATTCTGATAGATTTAAATGTATTACCGTTTTAAACTTTTCTTATGCGAAACAACATTAGACTACATTTATTTTCACAGCAGCTCTGGAGGCATCTAGCTGTCATTGATGATTTTTACTTTGTATATATCCACAGCACATTCTTCTGATGCTACAGTAGAGAAGATTGAGGTTGAGATTCAGACAGGTCCTAAGTCAGCCTCTAAAATTGTTCGAATGGTGGCCATTGATGAATACCCCAGAGCTAAGAAACTGGCAGGCAGTGTCTTGACAAAACTGAAGGGAATCCTGAAACCCTTCAAGGTGTGGTAAAACTGAATGAATTCATTTTCTGGCAGATATTATATTATTATTTTATGTTTTTGTAATATTGTATGCAGTTATTTTGCTGAATCACTTCTAATTATGTTTTTATTTTTATTGACACTGACGATGACTTTTATATCGATATTCCTTGTTTTTTGGTATTTTATAGCTTTTAGTATAATTTGATATTTTGTAGAATATGGTGCAATTTAGATGTTGTTGGTATTCTTACATTTCCCTATATGTAACCCAATTTGAGCTGCTCTGCGCATGAAAGGCACAGTGCTTACAAAGCTTGACTTTATAAAATGATTTTTGCATCTCTAGTATCATTTGAAAAAGGCTGGAATTAAATACAATTTTGTTTTTGTTTTTTTGCACCCCATAAAGAAATAAGAACACTTTGTGGAAGGCAGAGTCCAGACTAAATCTGAATTTAACAAGACCTGCGAAAAAGCTGTGTACAATATTGCAAAACTGTTTTATTTTGTCTTCTTAGGGACATCACCATAATGCTACTGGAATCTCCTGGAGGTCCT